ATTTTGGGACAAGAGAGACCTATACTTCACAAGTCCCTCCCCTTGACACCACATATGAAAACATACACAAATCATGATTCACTTTGTGGATCCCATTGCCATGGGAAGGAAAGGGGAAACATAGATCTATTGTTACTTTGATCATATATCATGATACTTTGACAGTGATATTTTAATAACCGCCATACAAATTCACTTCACAAAAGATCAACTGTAAAACACAAAGTACATAAACATATACGAGGGACCGGCGAAGTACATGAAATGTCCCATCTGCTAATGAGTTTGTCTGTCATTTTTTTTCACTTTTATTCTTACCAAATGTTTAGGACAGATTCAAGTTGGGAATACAATCGGTCAAAAGGTATCAATATGTAAGCTTTGAAATCAAGATAAAAAGCAAACATAGGTAAACACTGAAAACACTATTAGATACCTTGATGATAAACCAAAGCAACAGTGGCATACATCGTGAAGAACGTGCGATACGTGCGGGATAAAGAGCAAAATGTAAACACAGACGTGGAAACAAAGTGAAGCAGCAACAACCAAAATGGCGTCGTTTGTGAATAACGGAAGTGGCAATGGTCTCCATATCCTTTACTGGAATGACAAGATTGATCACGACTGGGAAATCTGTTATACCTTGAATACATGGTGCACCGTTAGTTTTCATGCGACGATACGATACACTAAACGTTATATTCTGTGTCGATACTAGACTGGGGTCCTGTCTACCAAAACTAAACTTGCGTCGCGTACCAACAGTGGAACCAGTTTATATCGATACAAGACACACTAAGCTGGGCCCCGTCTCTAATATCACAATGTAGCTTGGCGCAAGTTGACGACGCTCAAAGGAATCAGCTTAGACGATGCACTGTCTTGCTAAACTTACCGCTCGTTTAATAACTCCCACTGTTTTTTGCCAGTTAAGTATCGCAGATGTTTTGAAGTTAGGCTTTAAAGTTCACTCACAAACATAGCGGCTTCGAACATGTGTCTGCTGCAACTGTTACCTTTTGAGCTTGCTCTGAAATATCGAGTTTCCACGCGATGTGACCTAAATATGGGTATCGCGATACGTATCGTATGGTGACCTAATACGTATCGTGATACGTATCGTATAGTGACCTTGCTGTATCGTTTGACCCCTATATTATTGGTTCTACTGTATATATTTCTGGGAACAAAACCTTGCATGTCCAAACAACGATTATGACTAATGTCTAACAACACAACGAGTTGACAACAGATGAGGGGTTAACAATCATTCCATACAAAATGTACCTGGAACAAAATACCTTTTTTGTGTATTTCTGTTGTAACACGAGCAGTGTTTTTGCATTCCATCACAATGACCGTGACCTTTTCCTGTCAAGGGCAATTAATTCATATAGAGAGCAGAGTGGTTTCCCTTTGACTACGAGTACACAAGCTCCTTCCCAGCGCGAAACGCCTTCGTTACCCTCTCGGTAAAATCACTGCCCATTCATCGCCACTCGCCCCTTTCCGTAACCTGCAATTCGGTTTGTCCCGGAATTACACGAGATGGTCTAGAATGATCACTGTAGTCAGTGTGGAAGCGGCCATTACAAGAGTATTGAAATTTGGCCCCTAACCTCAAATGTAGTCGTTTATATTTTGGTTAACGTCTTTGGGAATGCCACCATGGTGAATTTTGACATTTTGACTGACTAGATTTCCCAGATGAATTTAACTCTAGGACAAACGTAGGACAATATCTGAATAGCAAAATACACTTTCAGCACATTGATGTGCATACTAAGTTTGACGAGTTGCCTTGTTTAAAGAATAAACGCCGGTGAACTGACACAACATTGACGCAATATTGAAAGAAATATTTGATACAAAACAACGACTGTCATATTAGATAGAGAGTGAAAGATACATTCTGATAGGAATGTTCTTGCAAGAAGTGGCGTTAAGCTAACAACAATCGTCTAGACTGGGAGCCGCAATTTTGTTTGAAGCAAATGCAAGGTGGAATCTGCATTGGTCAATGGAAGGGACATAACTCGTATTAGGCCCAGAAATTACAGCCTAGCTCGGCAGGGTTCGAAAATGGAGTTTTACAGGCAGTTAACTCCCTTGCCTCGGGAAGATGCGACGATAGCTGTATGTGTAATAATGCTTATAAATTGAACAGATTTTTTTAAAAAGCCAGCGATAAGGTGAGGTGAGATGTAATGGGGTTAAAGGTCGCGTCCAAGATGATTGCACTCATGTAGCGACGTGTGTGTGTGTGGCTGCTTGTACTAGTCCTGACTGATGCCTTTATAGTACTAGCCCACTGAGATACCATACCGCAGTTTAACATGAATACCCCATTCAGACACAGTATACTTACTTGGAGCCGACCAGTCCTTGTTTTAGCCCCCAAATACCGAGCGCCAGACAGGGTAACAACAAGTACCATCTATTAACGCCTTTTGGTATGACGCGGCCAGGGATCGAACCCTAGACCTTCGATCACCGATTAGGAATATTACTTACAGTAATGATAAAGTGAGCATTTCAAGAAATATCCATTTTATTGGCGATATCATTGAGTTTTGATCACGTGGTGAATTCCTGATTTTGTCCACGCCTGGGATTCTGTATGGAGACTGGGTATTTTTTCAGCTACAGCTCCAAAACCAAAACCTTTTTAAAAGAAAACTATGAGCGTAAATATTTTGGGGTTTTAAAACACATCTTGGAACAATGTATTTTTTGTGGCAGACAATTTCTTTCTTTCCAAACAGTCTGAAGTAGGATTTTAAACGCATTTTCTGAGACAATTTCTTTATGACGATAAAAACGATCGGTGCCTAAGGTGTGGACGCGTATCAGCGCCACAGTCTAAACAGATTGATCATCTACGTAGGTCATACTTTCATCCCCGTATGGGATGTTATAATCGAACGTATCGTTTCTCAGATAGTGATATTGCCTGGTGAAGTTGCAATACCAGTTAGATACAAACATATATATTTTAAATTAAGGTGATTACTTAAATATAGTTAATTTATTTGAATGTTTGGAAGCATGTTGGTTGTTGTTTTCAACGTGTCAAACTATTACCGTTTAAGAAAAAACACAAACTGCAGAATTGTACCTTCGGTGCTTTAAAGGATAATGACGAGTATTGGTTTGATATAGGTTTATAGTTTGAGTGAGTCTAACCCCTTCATTTCACGGTTTACCTCTTAACCCTAATTTCCGTCATGGAGAAATCACGAGGATTAAAATATTCCCCCAGTTTTAACCATGTTATGGTTAATATATAATTTCGCTTAAATTTTGAATAGTGGCCTATAGCTGTTTATTTGTTTGTAGTTTGGAGAACATTTTGTGCTCTCCTCTCTTTATTACGGTTGTAAAAGAGTGTGGCGTGTGTTATTCTCCAGTAACTTCGACATATTGAAATAAAGTTTACTTTATACAATGTGTAGATAATACCTAAGTAAAGACGGGTGAAACAAATGGGTCATTATTAATTAAATATTTATTATTTATTAATTAAGCCAGTGGTTATATATAACTGACCCAGAACTAGCGTCGATTAGTCGAGAAAATATTGATACCTAGATGAAAGCAGTATCATCATCAGTATCATCTACGTAGATGATATTTTTGTTTAGACTGTGGCACTAATACCCTTCCATACTAAGGCCTTGTGCGATTACATTGCAGAATTTCTGCTAACTAATTTTACGTGTAATCATGTTGACGTCTAATCACTATTGTCTGATATATGTGTAAGAACATTACTTGGAATATATTTATGAGGAAAGAAACACATATCCTACACGTATCTGCATGTGGTAAGAATAGTTACAATGTATATTATGTATTGAATTTAAACTTTCTGAGATTCCAATTTTCCTTAGAACTATCAACATGGTAGAATGTGTATTGATGATATTTCAATGGAAAATTGTCAATTATCTTTGTTAAATTAATATTGTAATAAGTTGTCATCTTGATGTATTATTAATAATAATACCGTATTAATGTGAACAGTATTCCTGAACTTTTGAAATATATTTTACCAGCATGCTTGGAAAAAAAACCTCCAACTTATTGAAATGTAGAATGGGCCAGTGGCCTTACATTACTGAAATACATCTATGTCTATGTCTATGAAATCGTCAACCTCTTCAACTTCAGCAATGTTAAAGAAAAACATTTCAGCTCTTTCTTCACGAGAAGGGAGACACAGGTGACCCAGTTGTCTAAGGCGCCGCAGTTCACTGTAGAGAAATGCATACCAGAAACCCAACATCGTGGGCTCCAATCCCAGATGCGACCTGATTATATTTCCAGGTTTGTCAACACCACAACCCAATCTCATTAAAATCAGATCTTAGTTCTCGCTACTGTAAACAAAGGTCTGGGGACATCCTATTGCGGGTCATAACAGAACGACCTTTCGCGAACTTTGACCAATGAAAGGACTAACAAGTCGACATAAGCCATTCAGAAAGCAGCTTTCTCTAGCTATACGCCACTAGTTTCAAACAGACGACTACACTTTCAAAAATAGTTTGACAAAGTTCTCGATTCGAAATGTGAAAACTTAACAAAAGAACATACTGGACTATCTAACAGATGGCCTAGATTGTATGGCACTACTTCCCACGGACAATGCAAAGTCTCTTTCGTTCAAATGTTCATCTCATTGAAGCTGGGTGTGTATATAGAGACCTCTTTGTATTGTTTCCCTGCATTGAATTGACAGATACACGTTCTTGACTGATTCAGTCGTAAAGCCGTAACTGTCGTTGGGAATATCCCGTGTTTAGCTTTTAGACTGGTCGATATTTTCTAGTGGATTAACAACGAAAATGAATGGGTGCTGCTACTAGTTTATAAAGTGTGACAAAATAAATACCAGAGCTTGGAAACGAGGTTTCGCGAAAATACATCACAAAGATCTAAAAGTAGCGAACGTCGAAACTGTCGAAACACAGAAGGATCACACAACAAGGAGGTAAGGTTCAATAACGAGTTTATTAATTAATCACTGAACTGAAAAATCTTGTACAGTGTCCCGAGATCGCCGGACATGATACCGGCTGTCAACTGTACTGGAAACATCAGTCGCTCGTCATTGTCTGTCACATCGTGGCTCTGGAATCCGGTACTTGTCTGTATCCCTCCAACGTTTGATATATCTGAACTGTTAAAATAATGAAATTGTACAATAAACTTTGAAACTTGAAAGTGGACGAATGAATGCCGAGGACGCCACATCTCCTAGAGCTGTCGAAATGCGATATAAGTAATTAACGCATTGGAATACTTAATAATCATATAGGATCGATTCTAGAACGATCCCTGTAGACATTGACTGTGACGGTCGGAATGACCTTGGACCCCCCCAGATCAAAAAATTTGTAAACTGTAATATTTTATAGGGACGAGAAATCACATGCGACTTGTGATAACTGTAACTTGTATACTTGGATCTTTACGATCTTGGAATATTTTGGTGAGGTAACAAAACATAATTATTTAAGCTTTTATCCATTTTTAACTGATATTTTCCATCCATTACAGCTGTTCAGATTCATTCAGCAAGATTTGTGTTTACCAACAGGCATGATACATGGGAGTTCAACGTTCACATTTCAACCTCGGGCTCTGTAAGAGATAATTGCAGCATGGGAAAAATGAGTTATTTTAATTAGTTGTTCCGACCGTGTAACCATCCGATCCTCATTGTAATGATCTCTTAAATAACGACTGCTTGGCTGCAGCGACTGCTTGGCGTGGAGTCTTGGGCGGAGCTCGACCTCCTTCGAGGTTTTGATGTTTTGATTTTTCTGTGCTGACATAGTGAACAAATCCTTAAAAATCAAGCAACATTTCATCTACCCAATCCCCATTTTGACCAACTCTTAAAATAACGATAGGTTAGTTGAAGCAACAATTTGGCATGGGCCGCCTATGAAGCCATCTCTCGCTTTCAGTTTTCATAACAAGGAATGCAGAAAACATGAATGTACAAGACACGTTCTTCAAGCAACAGCGTTTATCACATACATTTTAAGCAGAATATTATATAAATTTTGATTCATGTATGAAACAAAGTGTATGTTATCAAAATAGTCCAAAATAGTCAAAATGGTTCATCCGAAAGGTCCTAAAACTAGTAGTTCACACAACATTGGCACAGCAAACAACTCCAAAGTCTATCTCTCCGTGAAGAAACTCTGGAACATGTATTTCACACAGGACACAAGGACGGCCGAGCACGACTGGGGCTGTTTGGATTCTTCACCAAGTTCTATCTCCACAACTTGAGGGCGGACTCTGGGGGCGGGGAGGGAGGTCTGGGGGTCGGGCTGGGATGAGAGGGGGTTGACGGTGATGGTGAAGACACTGGTGCGCTTATAGAGAGGAAATAGATGTCCTTAAATAATTGAAATAAGTATCAATCCACAGTTTAGCTTGTATGAAACAAACATGAAAAGGTCGACCATTTTGCACCTACTTTATCTGGATATTTAAACAAATAGCAAGTGAGGATATACCGCCTACCGACTAACACAGAGAAATGCGACAAAAACATTTCTATAATCACAGAAAATCTGTATTTGTACGATTGCGACAGTATCATGAGAGTCAGGGCACGATTTAGGAACTTGATATAGTTTGCACCTGGTGCAAGTTGACCCCCCTACCATTTTCCACTAGACTAAACCGATTGCACTCCTAACAGAACCTATTCACTGACAAGATCACTTTGAATGGAATCATTTATACATCCCACATATTCGTTTGCATTCTTGTTTTTAACCATAAGACTGACCTGATAAGATTCATGACGAAAAGCACAAAGGACAATGTCAAATTACTCAAAACACTGGGAATGTGATGTAGTATGGTACAAAAAGTGTATTGATTTCAAAGATGTAAGTGTAGAAAGCCTTTTTAGTAAGTCAGTAACAAAGTTGTAAAATTTTGACATGCACTGGGTGCAAGTATAGATAAAAATATAGACTGCATTCTTCAATATCAGGTGGCACTTGTGCCCTTTTTTGTTAAATCGAGCCCTGGTCATGAGCATGTGTTTTTCAATCACTAACAAATAGTGGTGATACCAGTTGTTTGTGAAAAGGTCATGTATAGGGAAACGGAAGTAAGTTTAGATTTTTTTTTCTAATAGGACACATTCAAACAACTTGAACCTAACGATGACCTACAGGATCAGGGACAGGAAGAGTCTTTTGGGAGACGGGGGCCTGGTAGTTCCTAAACCTGTGAAGATCATCCTGAGCTATAATGGAATAAAAAAAATAATAAAACAACATCATCCATCCTCATTGTGTAGACTATAACATAGACTTTGGTTATTGAAACATGATTCCTGTGTGTTTTTTAAGGAGATTAAGCAAATTATGCCAACGTTGCAGGGTTCTGTGCCAGGAAGTTTGGTTTAGGTAAAATGGTCACTGGACATTTTGGGACAAGAGAGACCTATACTTCACAAGTCCCTCCCCTTGATAACACATATGAAAACCTACACAAATCATGTTTCACATTGTGGATCCCATTGCCATGGGAAGGAAAGGGGAAACATAGATCTATTGTTACTTTGATCATATATCATGATACTTTGACAGTGATTATTTTAATAACCGCCATACAAATTCACTTCACAAAAGATCAACTGTAAAACACAAAGTACATAAACATATACGAGGGACCGACGACGTACATGAAATGTCCCATCTGCTAATGAGTATGTCAATATGTAAGCTTTGAAATCAAGATAAAAAACAAACATAGGTTAACACTGAGAACACTTTTAGATACCTTGATGATAAACCAAAGCAACAGTGGCATACATCGTGAAGAACGTGCGATACGTGCGGGATAAAGAGCAAAATGTAAACACAGACGTGGAAACAAAGTGCAGCAGCAACAACCAAAATGGCGTCGTTTGTGAATAACGGAAGTGGCAATGGTCTCCATGGAGATCCATCAGCGATCGCCGCTTCTTGCTGCTTTCCGTAAACTGCCCCTTTCCGTAACCTTCTTGTGCTGGAATAATTGTCACAAATGATATCCTTTACCGGAATGACAAGATTGATCACGACTGGGAAATCTGTTATACCTTGAATACATGGTGCACCGTTAGTTATCATGCGACGATACGATACATGAAACGTTATATTCTGTGTTGATACTAGACTGGGGTCCTGTCTACCAAAACTAAACTTGCGTCGCGTACCAACAGTGGAACCAGTTTATATCGATACAAGACACACTAAGCTGGGCCCCGTCTCTAACTCTTTCATCACTGGCTGCCCCAGAGTTATGTCCCTTGAGACCCTGCAGTCCCTGACACTGACAAGGCCTGTACACTGGCCTCCCTGGCAGTATTATTGGAAAATCACCCTATCAATTTTGATGCACTTTTTCTACCAGAAACTTGCTTTTAATATACATTTATCATACACCATTGTAAAGAGGATTAAGTATACTTTAATATTCTTTGTTGTTATTGTCTCTAACCTTTGTTATTTTCTAATTACAGGTGTTTACAAGTGAAATAAAACTTGAAAACACTGAAAAAATGAAAACAGACAATGAATTTTGGCTCAAATTGTATTACAAATCACAAAAATAAATCACAGATACAAGGTAAACATAACACAGTGGTCTCGTCATCTTGGACGGCACAGGTAATCCCAGGTGTTACAGGTAAATTCTCTTCATGCAAATCTGTAAACAAATAAACAAGTTTACAACTCTTGGTACTGACTTTGTTTTCTATACTGATGTCACATATTACTTATGATACACTTACAGCCTCTTAGGTAAACTCGTTAACACAGGTAAACTTGTTAACGCAGGTAAACTCGTTAACACAGGTAAAAACACAAATATTTGATTTATTTTGTTCTTTTTCAGGATTTGAAACAAAAATTAAGTATTTAAGTTTTTAAAAAGTTATTTATCACATTATCTGAACATTGAACCACAGCTACTATAAGAATGACATCACAGGGAAGATAACACAGATTGATCTGAAGAGGGAAAGATTGTAAAAGGACGGAAAGATCGTAAATTCAAGTTCTGCAAATATACAAGTTGTGATAACATATTTACAATACACTGCTATTTACAATTGCATAATAAATTAAATCAGTACTTTATTAAATCAATTAATAAATAAATAATCATTACAGTTACTCAAATTTAAATTAAGATGTAAAAAACAAGAAAACAAACATGAATATGGAAATTAATTTTATTCAAATTGAGCTAAATATAAGGACATACGACAAACCGGCAAACTACAATTCGGATTGCGATCAGAAAAATAAATTTAAAAAAGAAAGAAACAGATACGTCATGCCACTCACCTTTGTTGTTGTTGTGATCGCTCAATCACGTGTCGGTAGCTGGATTCTCATTCGTCGCACTGATAATCTGTTCAAACACATAATCATTGTAAAACAGTTGGAAAAAATCAATAGCACGACTCTTCACTCACCGTGTCAATATATATTCTTGAGTCCGGTCGCCTCTTCAAAATCCCTCATGTCTCCACTATTGTGGTCCCTCTGCCACTCCCATTCTCGAAAGTTGGCGGGGGGGACACCTCGTCGAAACCGTCAAAATCTTCACGAAAATATTCGCGAAATTCCCTCTCCCCTTCGCGTAAATTATTCAATTCAAACACATTATTATTCCCGATATAGTCGTTGTTAATCATCTGATCGCTATCCGAATCGTAGTTGGCCGCCATTACGCTTGATTTACGATTCAAGCGAGAAAAATACCTGTCGCGAAAACAGGTGACATACCCGCGATTTTCGCGCCAAAAAGACGGGGAAATTCCATAGAATGACGTGTCAATCACGTGTAAATCTCGTTTCCATATTTAGAACGAGATTACACACGAGAAAGGAAGTAGAAAGAGCGATTTTGTAAACACGCTCGCGCCGCCCGATTTATCGGGCAGCCGGGTTCTGGGACACGGCTTATGCTGCCCGATTTTTCGGGCAGCCGGGTCCTGGGACACGGTTTATCCTGCCCGATAAATCGGGCAGTCGGGGCGAAAGGGCTAATATCACAATGTAGCTTGGCGCAAGTTGACGACGCTCAAAGGAATCAGCTTAGACGATGCACTGTCTTGCTAAACTTACCACTCGTTTAATAACTCCCAGTGTTTTTTGCCAGTTAAGTATCGCAGATGTTTTGAAGTTAGGCTTTAAAGTTCACTCACAAACATAGCGGCTTCGAACATGTGTCTGCTGCATCTGTTACCTTTTGAGCTTGCTCTGAAATATCGAGTTTCCACGCGATTTGACCTAAATATGGGTATCGCGATACGTATCGTATCGTGACCTAATACGTATCGTGATACGTATCGTATAGTGACCTTGCTGTATCGTTTGACCCCTATATTATTGGTTCTACTGTATATATTTCTGGGAACAAAACCTTGCATGTCCAAACAACGATTATGACGAATATCTAACAACACAACGAGTTGACAACAGAAGAGGGGTTAACAATCATTCCATACAAAAAGTACCTGGAACAAAATACCTTTTTTGTGTATTTCTGTTGTAACACGAGCAGTGTTTTTGCATTCCATCACAATGACCGTGACCTTTTCCTGTCAAGGGCAATTAATTCATATAGAGAGCAGAGTGGTTTCCCTTTGACTACGAGTACACAAGCTCCTTCCCAGCGCGTAACGCCTTCGTTACCCTCTCGGTAAAATCACTGCCCATTCATCGCCACTCGCCCCTTTCCGTAACCTGCAATTCGGTTTGTCCCGGAATTACACGAGATGGTCTAGAATGATCACTGTAGTCAGTGTGGAAGCGGCCATTACAAGAGTATTGAAATTTGGCCCCTAACCTCAATGTAGTCGTTTATATTTCGGTTAATGTCTTTGGGAATGTCATCATAATGACTTTTGACATTATGACTGACTAGATTTCCCAGATGTATATAACTCTAGGACAAACGTAGGACAATATCTGAATAGCAAAATACACTTTCAGCACATTATTGGTGTGCATACTAAGTTTGACGAGTTGCCTTGTTTAAAGAATAAACGCCGGTGAACTGACACAACATTGACGCAATATTGAAAGAAATATTTGATACAAAACAACGCCTGTCATATTAGATAGAGAGTGAAAGAAACATTCTGATAGGAATGTTCTTGCAAGAAGTGGCGTTGAGCTAACAACAATCGTCTAGACTTGGAGCCGCAATTTTTGTTTGAAGCAAATGCAAGGTGAAATCTCCATTGGTCAGTGGAAGGGACATAACTCGTATTAGGCCCAGAAATTACAGCCTAGCTCGGCAGGGTTCGAAAATGGAGTTTTACAGGCAGTTAACTCCCTTGCCTCGGGAAGATGCGACGATAGCTGTATGTGTAATAATGCTTATAAAGTGAACAGATTTTTTTAAAAATCCAGCGATAAGGTGAGGTGAGATGAAATGGGGTTTAAGGTCGCGTCCAAGATGATTGCACTCATGTAGCGACGTGTGTGTGTGTGGCTGCTTGTACTAGTCCCGACTGATGCCGATTTATAGTACTAGCCCACTGAGATACCATACCGCAGTTTAACATGAATACCCCATTCAGACACAGTATACTTACTTGGAGCCGACCAGTCCTTGTTTTAGCCCCCAAATACCGAGCGCCAGACAGGGTAACAACAAGTACCATCTATTTACGCCTTTTGGTATGACGCGGCCAGGGATCGAACCCTAGACCTTCGATCACCGATTAGGAATATTACTTACAGTAATGATAAAGTGAGCATTTCAAGAAATATCCATTTTGTTGGCGATATCATTGCGTTTTGATTACGTGGTGAATTCCTGATTTTGTCCACGCCTGGGATTCTGTATGGAGACTGGGTATTTTTTCAGCCACAGCTCCAAAACCAGAAACTTTTTTAAAAGAAAACTATGAGCGTAAATATTTGGGGGTTTTAAGACACATCTTGGAACAATGTATTTTTTGTGGCAGACAATTTCTTTCTTTCCAAACAGTCTGAAGTAGGATTTTAAACGCATTTTCTGAGACAATTTCTTTATGACGATAAAAACGATCGGTGCCTAAGGTGTGGACGCGTATCAGCGCCACAGTCTAAACAGATTGATCATCTACGTAGGTCATACTTTCATCCCCGTATGTGATGTTATAATCGAACGTATCGTTTCTCAGACAGTGATATTGCCTGGTGAAGTTGCAATACCAGTTAGATACAAACATATATATTTTAAATTAAGGTGATTACTTAAATACTGTTAATTTATTTAAATGTTTGGAAGCATGTTGGTTGTTGTTTTCAACGTGTCAAACTATTACCGTTTAAGAAAAAACACAAACTGCAGAATTGTACCTTCAGTGCTTTAAAGGATAATGACGAGTATTGGTTTGATATAGGTTTATAGTTTGAGTGAGTCTAACCCCTTCATTTCACGGTTTACCTCTTAACCCTAATTTCCGTCATGGAGAAATCACGAGGATCAAAATATTCCCCCAGTTTTAATCATGTTATGGTTAATATATAATTTCGCTTAAATTTTGAATAGTGGCCTATAGCTGTTTATTTGTTTGTAGTTTGGAGAACATTTTGTGCTCTCCTCTCTTTATTACGGTTGTAAAAGAGTGTGGCGTGTGTTATTCTCCAGTAACTTCGACATATTGAAATAAAGTTTACTTTATACAATGAGTAGATAATACCTCAGTAAAGACGGGTGAAACAAATGGGTCATTATTAATTAAATATTTATTATTCATTAATTAAGCCAGTGGTTATATATAACTGACCGCGTCGATTAGTCGAGAAAATATTGATACATAGATGAAAGCAGTATCATCATCAGTATCATTTACGTAGATGATATTTTTGTTTAGACTGTGACACTAATACCCTTCCATAATAAGGCCTTGTGCGATTACATTGCAGAATTTCTGCTAACTAATTTTACGTGTAATCATGTTGACGTATAATCACTATTGTCTGATATATGTGTAAGAACATTACTTGGAATATATTTATGAGGAAAGAAACACATATCCTACACGTATCTGCATGTGGTAAGAATAGTTATATTATGTATTGAATTCAAACTTTCTGAGATTCCAATTTTCATTAGAACTATCAACTTGGTAGAATGTCTATTGATGATATTTCAATGGAAAATTGTCAATTATCTTTGTTAAATTAATACTGTTATAAGTTGTCACATTGACGTATTATTAATGATAATACCGTATTAATGTGAACAGTATTCTTGAACGTTTGAAACATATTGTACCAACTGCTATTATACCAGCATGCTTGAAAAAACAAACTCCAACTTATTGAAATGTAGAATGGGCCAGTGGCCTTACATTACTGAAATACATCTATGTCTATGTCTATGAACTTGTCAACCTCTTCAACTTCAGCAATGTTAAAGATAAACATTTCAGCTCTTTCTTCACCAGAAGGGAGACACAGGTGACCCAGTTGTCTAAGGCGCCGCAGTTCACTGTAGAGAAATGCATACCAGAAACCCAACATCGTGGGCTCCAATCCCAGATTCGTCCTGATATATTTCCAGGTTTGTCAGCACCACACCCCAATCTCATTAAAATCAGATCTTAGTTCTCGCTACTGTAAACAAAGGTCTGGGGACATCTTATTGCGGGTCATAACAGAACGACCTTTCGCGAACTTTGACCAATGAAAGGACTAACAAGTCGACATAAGCCATTCAGAATGCAGCTTTCTCTAGCTATACGCCACTAGTTTCAAACGGACGACAACACTTTCAAAAAAAGGTTGACAAAGTTCTCGATTCGAAATGTGAAAACTTAACAAAAAAACATACTGGACTATCTAACAGATGGCCTAGATTATATGGCACTACTTCCCACGGACAATGCAAAGTCTCTTCCGTTCAAATGTTCATTTCATTGAAGCTGGGTGTTTATATAGAGACCTCTTTGTATTGTTTCCCTGCATTGAATTGACAGATACACGTCCTTGACTGATTCAATCGTAAAGCCGGTAACTGTCGTTGGGAATATCCTGTGTTTAGCTTTTAGACTGGTCGATATTTTCTAGTGGATTAACTACGAAAATAAATGATTGCTGCTACTAGTTTATAAAGTGTGACAAAATAAATACCAGAGCTTGGAGACGAGGTTTCGCGAAAATACATCACAAAGATCTAAAAGTTGCGAACGTCGAAACTGTGGAAACACAGAAGGATCACACAATAAGGAGGTTAGGTTCAATAACGACTTTATTAATAAATCACTGAACTGAAAAATCTTGTACAATATCCCGAGATCGCCGGACATGATACCGGCTGTCAACTGTACTGGAAACATCAGTCGCTCGTCATTGTCTGTCACATCGTGGCTCTGGAATCCGGTACTTGTCTGTATCCCTCCCACGATTGATATATCTGAACTGTTAAAATAATGAAATTGTACAATAAACTTTGAAACTTGAAAGTGTACGAAGTTGGCTGAAACCAGAACTGGATCCATGTAATGTAATGAATACATCCCGGAAGTCGCGTGACCCAGAATGAATGCCGAGGACGCCACATCTCCTAGAGCTGTCGAAATGCGATATAAGTAATTAAAGCATAGGAATACTTAATAATCATATAGGATCGATTCTAGAACGATCCTGTAGACATTGGTAGGTAAAAGCCCTTGACTGTGACGGTCGGAATGACCTTGGACCCCCCGGATCAAAAAATCTGTAAACTGTAATATTTTATAGGGACGAGAAATCACATGCGACTTGTGATAACTGTAACTTGTATACTTGAATCATTACGATCTTGGAATATTTTGGTGAGGTAACAAAACATAATTAATTAAGCTTTTATCCATTTTTTAACTGATATTTTCCATCAATAATAGCTGTTCAGATTCACTCAGCAAGATTTGTGTTTACCAACAGGCATGATACGTGTTAGTTCAACGTTCACATTTCAATCTCGGGCTCTGTAAGAGATAATTGCAGCATGGAAAACATGAGTTATTTCAATTAGGAGTTCCGACCGTGTAACCATCCGATCCTCATTGTAATGATCTCTTAAATAACGACTGCTTAGCTGCAGCGACTGCTTGGCGTGGAGTCTTTGGGCGGGAGCTCGACCTCCTTCGAGGTTTTGATGTTTTGATTTTTCTGCGCTGACATAGTGAACAAATCCTTAAAAATCAAGCAACATTTCATCTACCCAATCCCCATTTTACAAACTCTTAAAATAACGATAGGTTAGTTTTAGCGACAATTTGGCATGGGCCGCCTATGAAGCCATCTCTCGCTTTCAGTTTTCATAAAAAGGAATGCAGAAAACATGAATGTACAAGACACGTTCTTCAAGCAACAGCGTTTATCACATACATTTTAAGCAGAATATTATATAAATTTTAATTCATGTATGAAACAAAGTGTATGTTATCAAAAATAGTCCAAAATAGTCCAAATGGTTCATCCGAAAGGTCCTAAAACTAGTAGTTCACACAACATTGGCACAGCAAACAAATCCAAAGTCTATCTCTCCGTGAAGAAACTCTGGAACATGTATTTCACACAGGACACAAGGACGGCCGAGCACGACTGGGGCTGCTTGGATTCTTCACCAAGATCTATCTCCACAACTTGAGGGCGGGCTCTGAGGGCAGGGAGGGAGGTCTGGGGTTCGGGCTGGGATGAGAGGGGGTTGACAGTGATGGTGAAGACACTGGTGCGCTTATAGAGAGGAAATAGATGTCCTTAAATAATTGAAATAAGTATCAATCCCCAGTTTAGCGTGTATGAAACAAACATGAAAAGGTCGACCATTTTGCACCTACTTTATCTGGATATTTAAACAAATAGCAAGTGAAGATATACCGCCTACCGACTAACACAGAGAAATGCGACAAAAACATTTCTATAATCACAGAAAATCTGTATTTGTACGATTGCGACAGTATCATGAGAGTCAGGGCACGATTTAGGAACTTGATATAGCTTGCACCTGATGCAAGTTGACATCTCAACCATTTTTCACTAGACTTAACCGATTGCACTCCTAACAGAACCTCTTCACTGACAAGATCACTTTGAATGGAATCACTTATACATCCCACATATTCATTTGCATTCTTGTTTTTATCATAAGACTGACCTGATAAGATTCATGATGAAAAGCACAAAGGACAATGTCAAATTACTCAAAACACTGGGAATGTGATGTAGTATGGTACAAAAAGTTTATTGAGTTCAAAGATTTAAGTATAAAGCTTTTTTAGTAAGTCAGTAACAAAGTTGTAAAATTTTGACATGCACTGGGAGCAAGTATAGATAAAAAATATAGACTGCATTTTTCAATATCAGGTGGCACTTGTGCCCCATTTTTGTTAAATCGAGCCCTGGTCATGAGCATGTGTTTTTCAATCACTAACAAATAGTGGTGATAACAGTCGTTTGTGAAAAGGTCATGTATAGGGAAACGGAAGTTATTTTAGACTTTTTTTTCTAATAGGACACATTCAAACAACTTGAACCTAACGATGACCTACAGGATCAGGGACAGGAAGAGTCTTTTGGGTGACGGGGGCCTGGTAGGTCCTAAACCTGTGAAGATCATCCTGAGCTATAATGGAATAAATAAAATAATAAAACAACATCATCCATCCTCATTGTGTAGACTATAACATAGACTTTGGTTATTGAAACATGATTCCTGTGTGTTTTTTAAGGAGATTAAGCAAATTATGCCAACGTTCCAGGGTTCTGTGCCAGGAAGTTTGGTTTAGGTAAAATGGTCACTGGACATTTTGGGACAAGAGAGACCTATACTTCACAAGTCCCTCCCCTTGACACCACATATGAAAACATACACAAATCATGTTTCACTTTGTGGATCCCATTGCCATGGGAAGGAAAGGGGAAACATAGATCTATTGTTACTTTGATCATATATCATGATACTTTGACAGTGATTATTTTAATTACCGCCATACAAATTCACTTCACAAAAGATCAACTGTAAAACACAAAGTACATAAACATATACGAGGGACCGGCGACGTACATGAAATGTCCCATCTGCTAGTGAGTTTGTCTGTCATTTTTTTTCACTTTTATTCTTACCAAATGTTTAGGACAGATTCAAGTTGGGAATACAATCGGTCAAAAGTTATCAATATGTAAGCTTTGAAATCAAGATAAAAAGCAAACATAGGTAAACACTGAAAACACTATTAGATACCTTGATGATAAACCAAAGCAACAGTGGCATACATCGTGAAGAACGTTCGATACGTGCGGGATAAAGAGCAAAATGTAAACACAGACGTGGAAACAAAGTGCAGCAGCAACAACCAAAATGGCGTCGTTTGTGAATAACGGAAGTGGCAATGGTCTCCATGGAGATCCATCAGCGATCGCCGCTTCTCGCTGCTTTCCGTAAACTGCCCCTTTCCGTAACCTTCTTGTGCTGGAATAATTGTCACAAATGATATCCTTTACCGGAATGACAAGATTGATCACGACTGGGAAATCTGTTATACCTTGAATACATGGTGCACCGTTAGTTATCATGCGACGATACGATACACTAAACGTTATATATTCTGTGTCGATACTAGACTGGGGTCCTGTCTACCAAAACTAAACTTGCGTCGCGTACCAACAGTGGAACCAGTTTATATCGATACAAGACACACTAAGCTGGGCCCCGTCTCCAATATCACAATGTAGCTTGGCGCAAGTTGACGACGCTCAAAGGAATCAGCTTAGACGATACACTGTCTTGCTAAACTTACCACTCGTTTAATAACTCCCAGTGTTTTTTGCCAGTTAAGTATCGCAGATGTTTTGAAGTTAGGCTTTAAAGTTCACTCACAAACATAGCGGCTTCGAACATGTGTCTGCTGCAACTGTTACCTTTTGGGCTTGCTCTGAAATATCGAGTTTCCACGCGATTTGACCTAAATATGGGTATCGCGATACGTATCGTATCGTGACCTAATACGTATCGTGATACGTATCGTATAGTGACCTTGCTGTATCGTTTGACCCCTATATTATTGGTTCTACTGTATATATTTCTGGGAACAAAACCTTGCATGTCCAAACAACGATTATGACTAATGTCTAACAACACAACGAGTTGACAACAGATGAGGGGTTAACAATCATTCCATACAAAATGTACCTGGAACAAAATACCTTTTTTGTGTATTTCTGTTGTAACACGAGCAGTGTTTTTGCATTCCATCACAATGACCGTGACCTTTTCCTGTCAAGGGCAATTAATTCATATAGAGAGCAGAGTGGTTTCCCTTTGACTACGAGTACACAAGCTCCTTCCCAGCGCGTAACGCCTTCGTTACCCTCTCGGTAAAATCACTGCCCATTCATCGCCATTGACTGACCAGATTTCCCAGATGAATTTAACTCTAGGACAAACGTAGGACAATATCTGAATAGCAAAATACACTTTCAGCACAATATTGGTGTGCATACTGTAATGTCTAGTAATGAAGACACGTGGCTGTCACTTTATTCGGAGTGGTCTCCCCTTACACGTATTATGATTGTGGGGATAATAGGACTAACATGGGTACTTTAGGAGTGCTTCACAACATATATTACATCCCTCTTTTTCTGACAAACACACGTTTTTAACAGTCCAGTACTGAAATTAATATATATTTAAATGCAACATTAAACCGATGATAATGAATTGCAATAAATGTGATATTAAAATGCCACTGCTTAGTAACTTGTTTGTTGTTTCTCACTGTTTTAAAGTCTTTCTCAAAGTCTCTGAGCACACTTTATAGACCATTCTTAGCCAATATGCATGACCTCGAGGTCAAATCGAAAACGAGGCTAACGTAGGCAGTCACTCCCTGGAAATGGCGACCTCGATAAGGAAAGATTACTGCTGTGTAGAAGTGATGCCCACGGGGACTTTACAGTGTCTTCCCACCGAATTCCTATGGATAAGACCGTACGAAGGCAGTGTTTGGCGAAAATACGCAGAGATCCTAGAAAGTCATTCACAGTAAGTAATTACTAGGCCTAATAATGATACCGTATTTCCTCTATTAGACGCCCGGGCTTCTATTTATTTCGGAATAGCCTTCGACCCGGCGTCAATTAGAGGCCCGGCTTCTATTAATACCCCCATTTCACTATGACCAAGAATGTCCCGAATCGTCACGAAATGGAGATTTTTTTCTGTTCGTAGATATCCGTAGATATATCTTAATCAATTCTCGAAGTCCGTACTTGAATCGTGACACTCTATACGAGTTGCACTCGTGACATATCGGATCGAGGACCGTTTTCCGACACACGTGGAGTTACCGGAAGAGAAAGGGAGTCCTCATTATGTAATTTAGGTCCCCAAAAGGGATCATTAATTGTATCATTTGATTGACCCGGCGTCTATAAGAGGCCCGGCTTCATTTTTTTTGCACTGAACAATTGACCCGGCTTCTATTAGAGGCCGGCGTCTAATAGAGGAAATGCGGTATGTCACATAGACATCGCGAAACATATTCAAACTGTTCAATATTCAAGAGCAAAATTACATTCATCCACCCAAAGACATGTTATTTTATATAGTCTATAAGCTGACTTAAAACATAATGAAATTCGTTTTTCAGTAGTTTGCCAACATGTCATACAAGTAAATGTGGAGAAATGCCTATTCTGACGAGTATGTGTAGGTGGTCTAGACCTGTGTAATGTTTAGGCCAGTGTTGGTAGAAAAATCCTATTTGTGTTAGGCCAAGTGAACTGTAAGTACTAGGTACGCCTAGTAGCTACATAGACATTTAAGCCTTTGGTAAATATAAAATATGATGCGAGATAACATGGATTTTCGGATGTATTACTGTCACCAGCTTCTAACCATTTGTAATTTATGTAAGTGGACAGAATTAGAAAATTAATCAGGAGTTTGTAAAGGGAGTGAGTGAGTGAGTGAGTATGGTTTTACGCCGCTTTTAGCAATATTCCAGTAATATCACGGCGGTGTAAAGGGAGTGAGGAAAGGAGGCTGAAATGGCTCAGAACTTTACAAAAAGCCTAGACCTAATAAATGATTTTTTATTGAAATGAAGGTTTTATATTAACTTAATTAAGTATAGTTTGTATAATAGTAAAGGACATTATGTACAGGCCTCAAAGTTTATTTTTTTACCAAGTAGCCATATGTCTACAAACATTTTTTTCCAGGTAGCCAGTTGTAAAATCAAGAAGTCAAGCCAATATTGTAGGTAGCCAAAAACATTTGAAATTATCTTTTATCAAATAACTATTTTAATATGTACAAGTCATAGCACTAGTCTTGGAATTGTATATTAGTGGAAACTGTACTTGATTTTTGTTATTGGTGACTCAAACCATGATGCAATTTATGTTACAAGACTATTTAGGTGTATCCTTGCTTATCAAACTAAAATAAAATACTAATTCCATTAATATTTATGTATTTCTGTTCATAGTCGACTATAGAGGAATTATACATAAGAACAATTACCAGCAGACATGTTTTCCACAATCAGCTTTAATCTATTTTTTTGACTTCAAATGTGAAGCAATAGAATTTAGTTGCCACAATATATTTTTCAAGGTTGTCATTTGGCTACCTCTGCATTTTAGACAGTAGAAATTTGAAATTAAGGTGGAATTTGCGACCGTTTTGTCGCAACTTTGAGGCCTGATATATCTACATATTGAAGACATTGATATTTTCACTAGATACATCTATAACATGTGTTTACTATCTTATATTTTTATTCAAAGATAACCACAAACACAGTTGTGTGCAGCAATCATTTCATGAAGGATGACTTCAAATGGACACCTAACAGTACGACTTTGTAGCCAGGTGCTGTTCCCTCAGTGTTTCAGCGGACTGTGAACAGTGGGGCTGCTGGCAGGAAGCCACCCTCTTGGAGACACTCATGCCATAGAGGTAAGGTAATGTTAATTGTAACCAGTCTGTATATCAGTGAAATAAGATTTGCTGCAAGTCTTCGTAATATTTCAAGTACATATGACACACATGTAGGTAATAAAAAAACTTTACGAAATACCCTGTAATGACACTGACCAGTGACCACTGCTTCAGCAATATAGGAAATATCATAGGGCAAGTAAGTGACCATAACAGAAATATATTTACTTTTCAAATATGTATTTCAGATGATGTTGATCAAGAGATTCAGAAAATTTCACCACCTGAGGAAACTCCCACAAGGAACCCACCACAGTCACCATCAAAGATATAGTAAGAATGACAATCATATTAAATTAATTTTGCCTTATTTGTAATTCCAGAAACATATTTATTGTTATTTGTGTGTTTAAGAAGTAATAGTGATCCATCATAATTGGTGTGTTACAGTGAAGCAGAATGTGATGCAATGGTCTCTGACCACAAGGCTACATAGACCAACTCAATGAAAAACTATGTGAACAAGAGAGGCAACTCAAGGAAAAGGATGACAAGATTGAAAAACTAAACAGACAACTTGAACTTGAAAAGTTCGGAGTTCGTAAATTCATGTATGATGATAAATTGCTGGAACATTACACAGGATTTCCATCATTTCAAACATTGCAAGCATTTATTTTATTTTATCAAACCTAAAGCATCTAACATGAGAGGTATGTATTATCAAGGTGAATCCTGTCTTCCAAAACCAAACAATTCTCACTCTATTCCATTATTTGATGAGTTATTCATGTTTCTTGTCAGAATTAAGCTGGGTTCAAGTGAAGTAGGTTTATCTGTTAGGTTCAATTGTTATGTCTCTACCATAAGCAGAAGGGCTTTGACTTGGTGCAGTTATCTCTATTTTGTTTTCGGTAGCATAAACATTTGGCCTCCTGCCTGAAGACTTCCGATTATTATACCCTAGAACTCGAGTCATCATTGACTGCACAGAAATGTATACCGAGAGACCCTCCTCTGTACATTTAGGTTCCCAAATGTATTCTCATTACAAGAGTAGGAATACATGGAAAGGCCTGGTGGGTGTTGCTCCTCATGGGGCATTAACCTTTGTATCTGCCATGTTCTCAGGTTGTGTGTCTGACATTGAAATCACCAAACTGAGTGGACTGTTGGGATTGCTTGAGCTAGAGTGTGTCATCATGGGTGACAAGGGTTTTCGTATAGGGAAGCTATTGGAAGGAACTGGTGTGTCAATAAATACTCCTCATTTCTTGAGTTCTGCTGGTCAGTTTGAGCAAACCGAAATTGAAGAAAATCAACAAATTTCCAGTCATAGGATCCACAGTGCAAGGCATATCAAACGAGTAAAAGAGTACCATCTACTAAATGGTACAGTTCCCTTATCAATGGCTGGGTCAATAAATCAGCTGTGGAGTGGAGTAAACTTACTATCTCTGTTTAGAAGGCCCCTTATAGCCAAGTGAGACAAGCAATATCCAGCATGTTACATCTCTTAGCCTTGAACATCAAATGTTGATATCTGATTGTTTTAACAGCAGTTTCACCAACATTTTGTTCATGTGATATTGAGTAGCTGGTACATGTACACTTGTACTCATTGAATATCACCCAAAGTATGAGTAATACCTTGCTCAGGGGTACTTGTACAAAAAAAGGTAGACATATAAATGTAAATGAATTTCTTCTGTAATATAAAGTCTGAGATAACTGTTGTAATACATGGGTTAGATGAGTATTAATCATGTTAATGAAAATGTCACAATAACTTTGTTTGATATGTAACGTACGTGTTGTTCAATTTCAGCTTCATAAAATAGATAATTCCACCTTTTGTATTTGAAATTTCATTTATAGGAAAGAGATGATAATGTGGTGTAAGGGGAGACAACCTGTGATTAACTATGAATTGTTGATATTTTCACTTATAGTAACAGGCCAATGAAACCAGTTGTAATTGTAATTTATCTGATCAAGACGAATGTATGGCGGATTTTATATTTTGTATCACAGACAAACAATTGCTATGAAGTATTATTACATGTGCTCATACTGTGTTTCAGCAAATTATGTATTGTAGAATCAAACTTGACTGTCACTTGAGCTATTGTGTGAGTGAATTGTTGCTTAATGTCAGCAATTTTTCTGCTATTTGCAGTTAACAAAGTTTAATTATGAATAATAATGGGCTTATGAAGATGAAATACTGCATTATGCCAGCTGTACATGACATGTAATTTCAGATCTTCAAGCCCTTTACGATGCTTGTCTATTAATGCTATTAATGCTCTTTATTGTCAGTTATTTTGTATTTCAAAACAGTGACTATGTTTACACATGAATGTTTGGCCTGCTTTGTTTTGCGATACATTGGTAAGCTGGGTCCATACGTTTTGCTTTTATTGCTTACCATTTCTTAATCATGGATGAAAGGAAAAGTCTGAGAAGTTATATGCTGATGAAAGTTATCTCCCCTGGGTAAAACAATTGTGATTAATATTTAAGCTGACATTTTTCAATTTTCTAAAATTTGTACACAAAATACACTCTGAGAAGTAATTGCAATTTGTATCCTGAAAATTATATTGTTATTTATCAGTAATTAATATACAGTGCTTTCCTAGTGCAAATGTGTCTATTGTTATTACACTGTTGTAAATACACAAATTAAAAATAAATGTGTATTTATTGTACTTCATGTGTTTGTTATTTATGTGGGTTAATTGTATTGCTGTATGATACTGAATCCTGTAATTTTGATCTGATATCATGTTCTCTTCAAAAGGTTTTAGTAACTATGCTATAGAATAACTGAAAAAAATCAACAATAAATCAATTTAATAGTACAGTAAAAGAGTATTTACAATAATTTCTAATATTCCGCAGGTGGGTATCAAGTCCATTCAGGTAAAATTGCTTTTCAGTTGCCATTTTGTCAATATTGAAATTGACAGTTCAGTTAAGAAAATATTTGAAGAAAAAATCATCCAATTTTGTCTTGCTTTTTGTATCCCAGTCATGTTGGTTGAAATAAAGAGTTTCTAAATGATGATAGTCCTCGTGCCACACAAACAAATCACACCATGTCAGGCCAGTTACAGCCGTCTGCATCTGTATTTGGTAGTAGACGTTGTGGTTTGTTTTATGTTGAAACTCACCGTCAGACACATGCAAGTATTCTAATCTTGATTTGGGAATAGTTGGACATTTTATTTCCAGTAAGCCATAGGGTGGGTTTCGACTAGGATTGTAGATTTTTCTATCAGGTGATGCTCCAAGCCAGGGACAGATTGGGCTGATAACCACACCACACCTGAACATATTCACACTTGTATCCTGCATTTGAAAACACACACAAAAAAGGATATTTGTTAGCATTAACCTGGTGATATTTGATAAAAACATTAGTAGAATTTTCACATTTTCAACACATGTCAATTTAGAAATGGAATCTGTGTCATAAGACATTTGGGTGGGGGGAAAATGGAAACAAGTTGCTACAATCATCTACTGAAGTATTTCTAGGATTACAGAACTTGTTAGAAATTATATGTTTGTGTAATCAAGGTAGAAATTTATTATTCTCACATCAGCATAGGTTTGGGCTGCAGTTGGCTCACATGCCCGACCATGTCTCATTGGCGCTGTCATGATCTTCTTTCCAGTTTTTAAGAAGGTGGCATAGTTATCAAATCCTGAAAGCAAGAGTATTTAGTTATGAATAAAGATCAGGATGATTCCTGTTTATCTGTTAGTCATTGTTCAATTTTTCTCCTAAGCACATTGACATGACAACCTATACAAATAATCAAAAAATGTTTAAATTTACCTCTCTTTTTCTTTATTATTGCACCAGCAACAGATGCAGTTAATCTGGATTGTCTGACTTTGCGCCACTTGGGAAGCGATGACTGTGTCCGAGTTGATTTCTCAATCTCAATACTTTGATCAATAGTCACAGAGAGAGCTTCTAGGTTGACTGTTTGTGAATCACTGTGATCTGTTGGAATACTTGAGGGACCAATACTGTTTTTGAGTGGAAAGTCTGGAAAGGTTGTGTGACTATCATCATTTATAATGGTACCCTTTGTAAGTCCTTGCTGATACGATAACACACTCCCTTTTGGAAACATGCCAAATTTTGTTAACACTTCAGACTTAGAATTTGGTACAGAGACTGTCAGAAGTAACAGATTCGGCCTAATGTCCCTTAGTGAAACAACTAAGTTTTGGATTGGTGGTAGAGGTGATTGCAAAGGATTGTAGAGGTTAGAATGGACACCTTCAGTGACACGAGTAGGGTTCTCAGTGTCATACCCTTGAACAACTATATCATCTGACTGAGCTCCCTTAATTTTTTCTCCTCTTGGAAGATGCCAGGTTCGGGGAAGTGAAGTTTTGCAGACATCATCTGGAATGGCAGTAACACCAAGACACATGTAGTTTGCTATCTGGTACATAACACCTGTGATGTGATCACAACCCTGACTCTGGCAGTAACACCAAGACACATGTAGTTTGCTATCTGGTACATCACACCTGTGATGTGGCCACAACTCTGACAGTAACACCAAGACACTTGTAGATTGCTATCTGGTACATAACACCTGTGATGTGGCCACAACTCTGACAGTAACACCAAGACACTTGTAGTTTGCTATCTGGTACATCACACCTGTGATGTGGCCACAACCCTGACTCTGGCAGTAACACCAAGACACTTGTAGTTTGCTATCTGGTACATCACACCTGTGATGTGGCCACAACTCTGACAGTAACACCAAGACACTTGTAGTTTGCTATCTGGTACATCACACCTGTGATGTGGCCACAACCCTGACTCTGGCAGTAACACCAAGACACTTGTAGTTTGCTATCTGGTACATCACATCCGTGATGTGGCCACAACTCTGACAGTAACACCAAGACACTTGTAGTTTGCTATCTGGTACATCACACCTGTGATGTGGCCACAACCCTGACTCTGGCAGTAACACCAAGACACTTGTAGTTTGCTATCTGGTACATAACACCTGTGATGTGGCCACAACCCTGACTCTGGCAGTAACACCAAGACACATGTAGTTTGCTATCTGGTACATAACACCTGTGATGTGGCCACAACTCTGACAGTAACACCAAGACACTTGTAGTTTGCTATCTGGTACATCACACCTGTGATGTGGCCACAACTCTGACTCTGACAGTAACACCAAGACACTTGTAGTTTGCTATCTGGTACATAACACCTGTGATGTGGCCACAACCCTGACTCTGGCAGTAACACCAAGACACATGTAGTTTGCTATCTGGTACATCACACCTGTGATGTGGCCACAACTCTGGCAGTAACACCAAGACACTTGTAGTTTGCTATCTGGTACATCACACCTGTGATGTGGCCACAACTCTGACTCTGACAGTAACACCAAGACACATGTAGTTTGCTATCTGGTACATCACATCCGTGATGTGGCCACAACTCTGGCAGTAACACCAAGACACTTGTAGTTTGCTATCTGGTACATCACATCCGTGATGTGGCCACAACTCTGGCAGTAACACCAAGACACTTGTAGTTTGCTATCTGGTACATAACACCTGTGATGTGGCCACACCTCTGACAGTAACACCAAGACACTTGTAGTTTGCTATCTGGTACATCACACCTGTGATGTGGCCACAACTCTGGCAGTAACACCAAGACACTTGTAGTTTGCTATCTGGTACATCACACCTGTGATGTGGCCACAACCTTGACAGTAACACCAAAACACTTGTAGTTTGCTATCTGGTACATCACACCTGTGATGTGGCCACAACTCTGACTCTGACAGTAACACCAAGACACATGTAGTTTGCTATCTGGTACATCACATCCGTGATGTGGCCACAACTCTGGCAGTAACACCAAGACACTTGTAGTTTGCTATCTGGTACATCACATCCGTGATGTGGCCACAACTCTGGCAGTAACACCAAGACACTTGTAGTTTGCTATCTGGTACATAACACCTGTGATGTGGCCACACCTCTGACAGTAACACCAAGACACTTGTAGTTTGCTATCTGGTACATCACACCTGTGATGTGGCCACAACTCTGGCAGTAACACCAAGACACTTGTAGTTTGCTATCTGGTACATCACACCTGTGATGTGGCCACAACCTTGACAGTAACACCAAAACACTTGTAGTTTGCTATCTGGTACATCACACCTGTGATGTGGCCACAACTCTGACTCTGACAGTAACACCAAGACACATGTAGTTTGCTATCTGGTACATCACATCCGTGATGTGGCCACAACTCTGGCAGTAACACCAAGACACTTGTAGTTTGCTATCTGGTACATAACACCTGTGATGTGGCCACAACTCTGACTCTGACCAATGGAACAGGAACATACAGCAGTCTCCACAGAAAGTGGATGACAACCGAAATATATCTGGAGGATAAATGAAATAAGTTTTACTATTTATAATTTTAATTACATTCCTTTTCACAATCATTTAAAAATAGATTATACCACAGTAACCAGTAGCAACTGATTTAAAAATACTGAGTTAAAGATCTAATTATTAACAGTCACATGAATTGAAACAAAGTAATTATAATCCTGGTGAAAGTGACAAACAATTACTGATGAGTATTATGAATAACTGTAACTGATACAATATGAATGTAGGCCTGTTCATTATATATGCAGGGATAACTCTAGGCTGGGGCCTTGTTCCTAAATTTGAAAAAAGGCCCACATTTTCAAATACAATGGGGCATTTTAACATGCTGTATGGGCAAGTTTGGGTGTCTCTGGAATATTTGAAATTTTCAAATTCATGTCAGAACATTCCTAGAGTGAACCCTGAACGGTACATGTCTTCAAATAAAATTAACATTACTTTAACATCATATATTATAAATACCTCAACTTGATGAGGGGATTCGTTTTTCCTCTGTGATCTGTAATAAGATGCTGTTACATGAATGACATCATCATCTGTAGGAACCACTGAAAAAAAATGTGCAAAATGGCTGAAATATTTAAACAGGAAAAAAATAAAAAATAATTGTAATACATTAAGAATACAAAAGATCTCCTGGAGTAGAGCTATCTAGATCAAGCATATGCTTATGCTTGCTTATGATCTCGATTATCTAGCTCAATCAATATACTGCTTGCTTGAAGAATTTCGAATGGGAATTGAAGGATTTGAAACCTGGACAACTTTTCAGCTTTGACGTCAAAACACGAGGGCGATGTCCACATGCATGTACAAAGACAAAAAGGGGCATAACTCCGCAATTCTTAACCTAAGTCACTGCAAAACTCGATCACCGTCATGTCCGTGGTGAGCATCTGCTTTGGATCAGGACAGTATTTCAGATTACGTTATAATATAGAAGAATGACCTATAAAAATCCTGAAAGTGCCCTTTGGCCAGTTGAAACCAGATACTTTAAAGGGGAAGTGTACACGCAAAAATCACTTTCTTTCTTTTTCTAAACAAAACGCAATTTTAGAATTAATTAGTGTCTGTGTTTGAAAATATACACTCATCTTTTTCACAGTGAAAGTAGGAAGCTCACAATAGTGTGAAAATGAAATGCCGTTGTGAGGCGTTCGATTTGCGAGCTAAACAGGCCTGAGTTACCCCCCTTAGATTATGACGTAATTGGTGCCAATTTAACTGGGTTCCTGTCTATTCTCAGCGCAAAATATATCAAGTACCAGTTTACGGTAAAACAACATGGCCTACGAGTCCAGCTCATCGTCTGATAGTGAAGAATTTTCGTTTGACCAGACAGAAATTGTAAAGCCATATGCTTTTGAGCCAACACCTGAACATTTCCCGAACTTCAAGATAAAGTCAAGATATGGCGACGAAGAAGAAACAAGCGAAGACCTCTTATTCGTGTCGTCAGCCTCCGACCCATCTACTGAACAACCGACGAGACCACTGTGGTAAGAATAAACTTGGCCTAAATATCTTGTTACAGCTCATTGTACATTTCCAGAAGCGAAACATATTCTTAGAGATATTTGCCATGCCTGGTAGCCTAACCCATACTCTTCTGTAACCATTTATCCTGTCCCACCCTGTTACGATTCCATAGCAATATCGTCCAATCCGAGCTTATCAAAAATGTTTCACTATCCTCACCACCCATGGGCTACTTCGCAGGCTACATGGCAATTTTAATACTAGTATGTCGCCAACCGTTGCTATTCTTTGCGTAACACGATTTAGGTGTTCGTCCCGCAGGCTGTCGAGTCAACACGTTGTTTCCGATTGTGAACATACTGACAAGAGCCACATGTTAACCTCTCCAGATCTATGAAATAATATTTAAGATCCAAATTCATATTCAAAACGACTGTCGTATTGTTCGATGTCGTGTTCAATCGGTTGTCCGATCTGCCACCCGTTGTACGAAACTAGCACCTTTTGAAAAGTAGGCCCTGATGAGTCCCAATATTTTGTGTTTTGTTCGACATCAGTTTAATAGATCATTGTTTATAATATTGGTTTGCTCTCACCACGGAATCACAACAAAGCCATTGCAACATTGCTGGGAAACTGTAACATACCCTAGTATAACTGGTCACTGGAAAATGACTTCAGGCAGATATTTGATACCTCTAAATAGACCTAACAGTAACCATGAGTTTGTGCCACTATTATAATTTACTTGGCGTTATAAAATATGTTTTATCCTTCGTACATCATGAACACTTCAAGTCCGATACTCTGTGTTGTAACTATTAATTGCATATGCTTTAGTAAAAATGTTAAAATTGTTTTCACCTAATATTATTTTATTAATTTGGCCTGGTAATGAACTGTGTACTTACACAAAGTGTAAATCATGAAAAATAATATACCTGATGCAATAATGTTACAGGTGTACATGTGGTTGCTGTGTGGGAATGCAGTCTGAGGTAGAGGAGCTGTGTTGTGTTGATGTTGCTCCTGTCCAGAATAAGCTTGATGACACATCTACCTGCAACTTCAGCTGCATCACTTACCACCCTGGCCTCTATGAAGTGTCACTGAGCAAGTATGGAATGGAGGCGTACTACAATGAGTTCATTGACACCAGTGGTCCGATAGGAGATGATGAACCAGTACACAAGTATGATACATTCTAATAATTCATAAAATAGTTGTATGCTTTATCAAGAGAGGATTACATGTTTGTAGAACAATTTGAACGCCCAAATTTCACTAAAATTTAAATAAGAAATTCAACTTCCATAATCTCATAATTTTATTTCCAGGGATGAGAATTTTTCTCAGATTAAGTTACATCAAGGGACAAAGGTTTTTGTTGCTAAAACCATCATTTACGTTTTTTGAATGTATTAGCTTCATGAAACATAAAAATACCTGAAACAAATTTTGGGAAAAAATGCCTGATTTACTTTCATCAGTGACCAAAGTCTTCTCTTGTTTATTGTAGACTACGAGTCAGGATTTTAAAACAAATTTTCGACTTGTTTTTAAATGTGTATATTGTATTTGAAGATATGTCAAGTAAAACAAACAAATATGACGAGTGAAATAATTCTCCAATTCATTAAATGTTTATTTCTCGGACAAGTTTTGTAATCATATTCAAAGCAATAGTATTAAACATACCATGCAAACATGATCAATTGTATAAGTCATGACTGAATTGTTGACAAGGCACCGTCACACATACTTTCCAAGGAAATTGTTATACCTATGTCATTTAACTTGATATGATTATATTGGAACAGTTAACTCAGCTTTTTTGACATTTGTGAATTCATTATGCATCTTTGAATTGACCAGTGAGGTGCTGTGTTAGTCAAGTAAGATCCCTCTCCTCCACCCCTTCTTAGATAATAGATTCTATATTTATTGATAGAATCATGTAATAGGTCTAACACACTGGATACTGTAGGGTGTGTTAAGAACTGCTTGTCGTCACTTGGAAACAAGCAATGCTGCCATTTTAGTCTATGTCAAAGGTTTTACCATGGAAACTTTGAAAATATTTGTTTTAAAAAAATCCCCAAAACATCATCTTGCATGAACCCCCTAGAACCACTCCATATCCATCTTCTAAAAGTACATGATATTTGTAACGTTTTGTAAGAGAAAAAATGGCAATACCTTTAATGCACTGTATTCAAAATTATTTTCATGCTTTTCAGAATTTACCGACATCTCGCCTACAGGAGATTCACCTACTGGATTTGGCAAAAGTTAGGAAAGAATCATCGAAAAGTTATTCCTTCTTGTGTTGTACATAAAATTCGTGAAAGATTTCCATCGGATGTGTATACGGGTTTCCTCTATTCTCACTAAAATAAATACTGTTTTATTGAAATCTGGTTTTATGATTTCTGACAACAATCTGTTTTTGTTGTTTCTTTCCATGAGTGTCAGTTATGCAGGGTGGCTGGTTCTCACTGAGGGAGTTGTTGGCAAGGTTAAAACTCGTAAACTCTGTTCGGAGGTATGACACTTCATGTAGCAGCTCGCCAACATATTCTGAAAAAATAATACACCAAAATCACATAACAGCTTTTCATTGTACTGTAAAAGATTTTACACAATATGCTAACAACTATTTCAGGTCCATAAAAAACAGGATTCAACCTCCTGAAAAGTCCATGTTGATGGATCTCATGTAAAGCCACTTATCACCAATAACATCCATACCGTATGTTGGATTTGTCTTGAGGGGTTTAGCAGCAGCTTCCCAGTTTCTGCTCTTAGGATAAGAAACACTCCATTTCTCGTGTCCATTCTTGGTGTTTGCAATGTGCCGACTACCATTCTCGTTGAAATGGAGTGCAGACATCAGCAACCTGTTACAGTATTCTTATTGTCACAGATTGTAATTATATTATATATATATCATGATGTACACATAATGGTATGGTAATGGTTATAATAACATTGTCAAAACTTTCTGATATCAAGACTGAGAAAACTATATGCTCCAATTGTCTGGAGTCTGCTGACAGTCACAGCCTACACATTGCAATTACTGCAATGTCATACTTTCTCTGTGTAGGATTCTGCAATCATTAACTGAAGATTAGTCTCCCATAATGTAGTTTTATTTTTGTTTCTCTTAAAGCATCACAATACATACCTTGCTTTCATTCCGTTGTAATGATAGTGATAAAATTTGGGAGCGAAGTGGCATATCACGCTATGAAATCCTTCCAGATGTGATGTCTGCCCATGGGGTGACAGTTTAGCCACATCTTTAAGGAGATATGTAGACTTGAGGATACTTTCAATCTCCTTGTGAGCTCGTGTGCCTGGAAATTATAATACATATACTTATACATAGTATTATATATATATTTTCTACTAAATAAGTTATGAATTTGATACTTTATTTGGGGACTGGTAATCTGGTCATTATTTTCACTGGGTGGGGGGAGGGGGTTGTCATGAAAAAATGTCTACAAACAATTGGCATAGTAATTGATCTTTAGTGGTGAGTATCGATACACAGCCCTTGTCACTAAACATTTTACATTTGTCAGTAAATCAAGAAAGTTAAAATATGACTTTTAGTCAATACAAAAAGGTAGAAGGGGCCGAGCATGTGATATTGTGGTGCAATTGTTTTATCAGTGACACCAACACATTTTTTATGAAGACGAGGAGAAAAAATAATTTTTTTCTAAATAACACTTTTTAACAATCTCATTTTTGTGGCAGACAATTTCTTTTATATCAAACATTATGAAGCTTATTTGTTTATTTTACATACCAGCAGTTACCCAAATTCTATCTTGAATTTCCCCGTGCATACATGAAGGGAAGCTTGCACCATGACCACTATGGATGTTAGCTATGTGGTTAGCAATCGACAACCACTTAGCTTGCACCTCCTCGGCATTGCCCTTGCTGGTTGCAGCACACCAATATAGGTGATTGGAAATGGAATGTGCCCACAAGCTGATTATTTCCAGGCCTTTCTTTTTGCTGATTTTTTGAAGTTTCTTGTAAATGCCTGAAAACATTAAAAGCTACCTGTACAATGGCTAGTAATGTCATATAATGATAATATTGAACAGAAATTACCTGGAAGTGTGTTTATTACGTTTTAGGTGATGAAATACATTAGTTACAATCTAATCATGCTGATATTGATGATTTGTATAACTATGTATTCACCTTTAGCTACATGCCATACATCAAACCAGTGGTGAATGCCAGCTTCCTCCTTCCTTAAGTAGGCTTTAATTTGCGTGTGCCTGTCTGTAATGATGTCTGAAACATCCACCCTGGCTGCCTGAAGAAATGCAAGGCCCCTTTTTAATCCCTCAAGTTCCATGGCATTAGAATTGGCCACCTCATTCGACTGAAAATAGAACAATAGAAATTCAGTTGTTCACACCTGTACAGAGATGTTCAACATCAACACTTTCAGTATGTAATGTCTGTAAGTATCACTGGACACAACTCAACATGTTCAGGTCACATCATGTGCAGTTGGTGTATTTAACTGTATGTATTTCTTTTACTGTATCATGAACCCTTGTTATGACAAGAATATGTGTTCTTACCTGTACCAACTGGATGTCCAAAACATGGTTTGTGTCCACATCAATCAAGGTGTAGCTTCCATACTTGGCTGTAACAATGTTAAAAAACACAGAGACTACATAAAGCTGACATAACATACAGTGCAATTTATGTCTTCTTCTAATACATGGTTACATTAAATATATCAAAGGCAATGAAAATTTCTAAATTTTATGTCAGCCGTGGCATTTATCATATTTGTCAGTTATGGGTATGCTTACACATATTCAGCCAAGTCACACATTGGAATACTAAAGACTAAACAATCTACATCGCACATGTACACAGTTGACAATTTAGCCAAAAGTCAGAAGCCCAAATCTAGTAAACTTCTGTTCTGTCGAATAAGCTCAGCTGATAATAATCCTTATAATAACACTAAATTTAACTGAAAATTATGCTAAGACCCATATTCGGGCTTGTAGTCTCAAATGATTTGGGCACATACATAATATGTATTCATATGCATATACATGTATATACAAAAAATATATTGGACTAAAGAGGATTTTTGAATACATGTACTTTAAAGCTAAAAAATGTGGATTAACCTGTGTGTCCAGGTGAGCAACACCTTGCATCCCCTGCCAGGCGTATGGATTTCTCCTTTCTTTCAAGCAGGAGTTGATTTTGATGTTTAGACCACACCCTTGAAATGGCTGGAACAATATAGCTTCTCTGGATCTTATGAAACGTTGATCTGCTTATGCTGTACATGTTCAGTATTGAATAGCTCCTCAGAGCCTTTACTGGGGAAAGGCTACTAAAGAAAATAGCACAAGCTATGGCCAAATTGCCAAGTGGCAGTTGTTTGTGGACTGGCTGACTACTCCAGAAATACAGATGCTCTTTGTGTCTAAGGCACTGTATCTGAACAGTCACAAGACTACCACAGACTTTATAAATAGTGGCTCTGCATGAACAAAAGCATAACTTGCAAAACAAGAACAAAGACAACAAATTGGATTTGAACACCAGGAACTTTGTTTCTTCAAGATGATCATTGAGGGACCTGAAATATAAAATAACAACTGTCAAATTACTTTGTTGATTGACTGAAGTGATTGTACATGTTAGATTGTGTGTTCAAATGATGTTTAAATATGTCGTGCTATGGTAGATTTGATATGAATTGGAAAATGGTACATTCAATGCATACTTTTGCTGGGACTGAAATTCTTCGAACTTGACTTTGCTTGAAAGAGGGTGGTAGTCTTCATCACTGTCACTGTCATCATCACTTGTGTAAGGTGTATCATGCTTGCTGCCAGCCTCACTTGGTGCCTGGTTACAAATGTCACCAGTGTACAATGCCACAATTAGATTTAGAAAATGTCAGTTACATTCTGTTACAGTATCACAAGAATATAATGTACAACATATTTCAATTGTGAAAAAAATCATTTTTACATAAATTTATGCTTGATTAATTTGAAATATGAATTTGTTACCTCATACTGTGTAGCACGGTCACATGTTTGCGGTGTACACTGGACAGCTACCGTGCACCGGGATGTATTCAGGCTCTTCTGAGTACCTGTTGAGCTGAGTGAGGGCATCAGAGTCTGGCATGACTTGCTTCGACACTACAAATTTGATAGAAATAGTACAAACATTCACAAGTTTGTCATCTGTGTCATTCACAAAATTTCAGCGATAGCACATTATGAATTAACTACATGTCAGTGATTTGTGTATTTTAACGGCATCAAAGACGTGTAAAGAATACTACATATATGTATGTACGTCTTTCCAGAACTTTGAGAATTATCAGTTAATGCTAAATCAGTCTAATCATGTCTAATGACATACGTGTAGTATGTTTTGTTGTCGCTAAATAGCTTACCGAAATGAGATGGTTGGTGTCAGTTCCGGCATCTGCTGTCCAATTAGGGGGTTGTATGTGCAAGTTATGTTTCTCGGACGGTACATCTCCACACTGACTGCCCACGGGCATCGAGGGGTAGTTATATTCAAATTCACTTTTATCGCTCGTGAAGGTGAACGACTGTAAATTAAAAAAACAAATACAAACAATCGATGAAGTTCGTTACGTGAAAATTACTTACCACACATATGTCAACTATCAAAATCACAAAACCGTGCAGCACACTGTAGTACTGCGATCAGCTGATCACCGAATATCGATGTCCAAGTAATTCCAGGAAGTGAACGAGACGCACGTTTAACATGCTTAATTATCTCGTGAAACTATGAACAAATACTAACTTATTCCTGTGTTAAACAGCTACCTTATATGCTACCGTGTTTAGATTTTATGTGATATTACATACATTAAACTTACCCGAGATGCTTCGACTTTACGACGTTTGTTTACGAAAACACTCCAGTCAGGGTCTTGATGGGAGTGCTGTCCCTTGATCCCGTTTCCAAATAAGGATGGTACAGCATCCGGGCGTAATTGTTTCCGATCAGTCGAACAACTGGAAGGCATTGCTCGCGAAACACGACAGCAAGTGTCAAAGTGAGCATCACAGACGCGATATTCACCCAACGGACCTTTCCATCCATCATCGTGAATCTTACAGTACTTTATCCATTGTTGTCTTCTCCGTGGCGATTTTGGGAAACGAAAATAACTAATTTTAGAATAATGTTTCTTTGCGTTGTAATTTGAACAGCGAGGAACCGAACAGTATACCATGTTCAAATCAGTAGGCTGCGCACCTGAGACGCTAGAATCACACACTTGTACATACACCACGTGAAGCCGCTCTAACAAAGCTTGATGACGTCATACTGTTTATCAATTGGCACCAATGACGTCATATTGCAAGGGGCATAAGCCATGGTGTTTTTGTTATGGAAATAGAACACTTGGTAAATGTGAAAAATATAAATCGTTTTAATGAAAAAAATATGTTAATTAATTGTGATATTTTTATATTTTTGTCTATGACTCTACTAGCTTAACACTTTTAATGTTGAAAAAGTACCAAAAAAATAGGTTCATTTTCGTGTACACTTGCCCTTTAAAGGGGAAGTGTACACGCCAAAATCACTTTCTTTCTTTTTCTAAACAAAACGCAATTTTAGAATTAATTAGTGTCTGTGTTTGAAAATATACACTCATCTTTTTCACAGTGAAAGTAGGAAGCTCACAATAGTGTGAAAATGAAATGCCGTTGTGAGGCGTTCGATTTGCGAGCTAAACAGGCCTGAGTTACCCCCCTTAGATTATGACGTAATTGGTGCCAATTCAACTGGGTTCCTGTCTATTCTCAGCGCAAAATATATCAAGTACCAGTTTACGGTAAAACAACATGGCCTACGAGTCCAGCTCATCGTCTGATAGTGAAGAATTTATATCCCAATTCATAAGAAACGTTAAAATCGGTACCACAAAAAAGTAACAGTATATTTATTACCACTAATATTCGTTCATAGTATAGGAAATTTCGACTGAAAAAACACAATGTTGGGCTTTATCACTTCAACAGCTCCACAACCCCACACTCCAGCCCTACCCACAAACGCACACCCAAAGCCCAACAGACCATGACCCAACTCCACCCTGGAATCTCAAATGGTCGGCCCCTATTTTGAAACGCGCACCTGATGCACTCTTTAGCTGTCAATGTTCCGCCAATTAAACGATAAAATCCAAATGTAAAACAAATAGTTGTCCACACATACATTAATAAAAATATAACGTGACGAATTTCCTTCAGGTATACATTTAATTTAATTTAAGAAATGAAGGGCATGTTTTATTCAACCTATCTATATAAATTTGCCACAATGAATATTTCACAATTCTCCAAAGGAAATAGGTATATGCTGCGGTGTGGTACATTCACAAAGCATCTTATAGGAAGAATAACACGATGAATGTCAATTTCTGTGATTAAAAAACAGTTGATTATTATGAGTTTCATAAATTCTATGGCATTTTTGATTATATTAGTAACAGTACTACATACATGTACCCATTTTGCAGCAGTGCATTATTTTACTGGGTGAAAAAATATAGAAGAGATATTCAAATTATAATTGAAGATTGAAACAGTAAACTACTTCATGAACTGAATGCGTTGTGTACTAGTTCACCCTCACCTCAAAGGAAATAACAAATATGTACAACGATGTTGATGTTGACGTATACTAATATGACATCACTACCGGTAACCTCTCGTCATAACATAAATGATTGCAGTACGCGGAATGTTTGGAGTAGGTTTTACCGTGATGCTGGGATCACATACATACATAAATGAGTCAAGTAAGTTAAGTAATCAGAATCAATCTGAAATCAACAAGTTCTGTTTGTTTTCATGTTCCATTCTCGCCTTGATACTAAGTGGAAGGCAGACCGCCTTCAGTGTGTGTGATTTTGCGTCAATATCATTGCGTCACGTGGAACGATTTCTGTTGACTTTTCAAAAAAAGTATCTAGACTCTATTTATTTATTCCTCAATTCTTGCAAGGATTGCATATTCGTAATGATCCGAGCTAATGTAGGCAACAAACTGACGACTAAATCTCTCGGAATAGTAGAAAATGTTAAGTAAAACTAGAAATTTGCTTTGTTTACATTTGTTTAAATGAGAAAGCCCACTCGGTAGGTTTCAGAGCACAGGGTTTTGTTTCACACTTGAATATTGCGGTTGATTTCATTTGGACCGTTTGTATTAGTGACTTAGACAAAATGTCAATTGATTCTTAATGGTATGATGAATTCAGGGATGTATGTATCGTAGCTGAGTGTGAAATATATTTGATGTGATATAGGCATCTCGTCTAACGCGAAAAGAACCGTGATTTTCCAACGCTATCAACATGGCGGTTCGGTTTTTATGTTTCGAAAACGAATAGAGGGTTTTTGGAGTCTTTTCGGAATGATGATTGGTGTTTTGACAAAGAGCAGACACCCAATGGTTTTGTAATTGAGATTCTCAAGTAGCTATACCTTATTTGAATAAATAATTACATTTAGAACAGTGAATTGGTAAAATGCGGAAATGTCAATATTTTCGCTGTACACGATTTTCAGATGTCGTTAATGATACAGATGCTTTGCCTAAAATAGTTGTTAATGGCATCACATAATAGAAACTTTCCCACAGAATCTAAAACTGTGACGTGTATTTGTGTGTGTGATGTATTTTAAGTTTTAGAAACGTATTATGGACCTAATCTCATCTTGGTCTACACTACAGTACACGTACAGTCACATAGCCTGTCGTTTCAAATAACACTATGAACAGTTTAACCTGGAGAATTAGACCGATGCAAATGTCAAAATATATAATAATATAGATCTATATGATTTTTTTTAACAGTTTGTACACACCTTTACGCCTGTCCATTTGATTGGAGCTAGTGCGGGCTGCTTGTTGTGTGCTTGAATACACACTGTTTAGCGAACTTGTCAAATTCAATACTGCGGACCATTGGCGCTTAGGTATTCCATACCTTGACATTTGGCTATTCCGATAGCTGCATGATCACATTTGAATTTGTCTCATTTTCCAATTTAGCCATTTCTGGCCATTTTGAGAAATAATCCACTGTCAACAAGTAATGATGACCTTTGTGTTCAAACAGATCTGTATAGCAGTCTTGGACCATGGTCTACTCAGCTGGTATCATAGGTTCCCTGGTGTTTGATTTGTGATGGATTGCACAGGTTTCACATTTTGACACCATATCTTCAATAGCCAATATAACACATCTCTGCATTTTATTTTTCACAATACCCAGGTGTGGTTCATGGATAATATGAAGCATTTCTCGCCTCATACACTTCGGAATGATGAGCTTGTGTCCCTTGAACAACAGACCATTTATACTGGAGATTTCATCTCTGTAGGCCCAGTATGCATTCAGTTCAGTTGAAAGTTCTGCTTTACTTTCTGGCCATCCACTTTGAATTACTCGCTGTAACTCTTGGAGAACTGTATCTGCTTTCGTCGCTATCTGAAATTCTTCTTGTTTTTTCAGGTGAGACAGGTAAGTATGCAAACAATGTGACTGCATTCACGTCAACTTCTGGAACTAGATTCTCTGTTGTCTCATGTAGATAGAACCTGCTCAACATGTCTGAAATCTTCATTTCTTTACCCGGCTTGTATTTCACCTTTATGTCGTATTTCTGTAGTGCCAAAGGAAGTCAAAGTCATGCTGGTGCGTCAAGGAGTGGTTTCCTGAATGTTGACTCCAGCGGCTTGTGATCAGTCTCGACTTGTACTTGTAGTGATCTTCCGAACACATAGTGATGGAACTTGGTACACCCAAATACAGTCGCTGATGTCTCTTTTTCAATCTGGGCGTACAACTGTTGTGCTGCTGTCAACGCTCGTGAAGCATAGGCTATTGGCTTGGACTTCTGTAGCAACACTGCACCAAGGCCTTTTGAACTTGCATCTACATTCAGTGTGAGCTCTTCAGACTCATCATAGTATGACGTACAATACTGGAGCGTTTATTTGTTCTCTGTGTATTGCGTTGCTTAAGTCTTTTGGATCGAGGCAGATTCTTACTTTGTTAGGCTTGATAACTGTCACCATACTGTTCACCCATGGAGTAGGTTCATTCTGCTGCACGATGATACCTAGATCTTCCATCCTCTCGATTTCTTGTTTAATCTTGACCTTGAGGGCGACTGGAACTTTCCGAGGTGGATGAATTACAGGTTTGACGCTTTCATCCAGTGTGATTGTGTGTTCTCCGGGTAGACATCCGATACCATTGAACCCGTGAAGATTCCGGGATAGAAAAGGTTTCCAGCAACCCATGCTTGCCGTAAAAGGTGACTATGCTTGTCGTAAAAGGCGACTAACGGGATCGGGTGATCAGGCTCTCTGACTTGGTTGATGCATGTCATCGATCCCAATTGCGTGGATCGATGCTCATGATATCAATCACTGGATTGTCTGGTCCAGGCTCGATTATTTACAGACCGCCGTCATATAGCTGGAATATTGCTGAGTGTGGCGTTAAACAACAAACCAACCAACTAACCGTGGAACAAATCTGGGTGAGCTGCTGGAATGTATTCTGGTATAACTTTGTCTTGAATGTGATATACTCGCTTGACCAGTCCCATTTCTTAACAAGACTTGGCTCCGATAATGGAAGGGTAAACTCAATCCACAATGTGAAACATTATGTGATTACATTATGGATTTCACCTTTATAGTCACCTGGTAACTTCACTGACCCTACCGACGCTATCACGTGACCTGAATATGACTTGAGACAGACTGTAGGTTTCTCAAGACCTGTTTTCATACCTATTTTGTCGAATGTACTGTTCGAAACCAAATTGCACCTTGCTCCTGTGTCTAACTGCAATGTCACTTTTCTGCCACTTATGGGAAAGTTCTCATATCAAGCATTATTCTCTGCATGTTCATTTGCTTTGTTTACCATTCCCATACTTCAGTTTCTGTTTTTTCTTCAGTTTCTGTTTCTTCTTCAGTTTCTGTTTCTTCTTCCGCTGCAGTTTCAGATTCAACACTTGACGGCTCTTCAACATGATGAACTTTCTTACTTGATTTCTTCTGTGGAGCTGGATACTGCTTAATTTTACTGTATTTGCACACAGATGCAAAATGTCCAATTTTTCTGCAAACTTTACATTGTTGACCTTCACCTGGACAATAATTATCTCTGACATGTTCATAACCACATTCATTGCATTCTCTATCAACTTTTCTGTGTGTTGATTTGCTTCTGTAACCAGTTTTTCATCTTACCTCATATTCTGACTTTTGTTTCTTCTGTTGTTTATGAACTGCACCTTCTGCAGGTCCCATAGCCTTTAACTGCTCTTGTGACATTTCCTGTGTCTGCACAATGTCTATGGCTTTATCTAACGATAAATCAGATCCCTCGTTTATCAGTTTTTCACACACTCTAGAGGAATTAACACCAAAACCAATTCTGTCTCTGATCATTTCAACCATATGATCTCCACAGTCAGCTGCAAGCATTTTCCGTTCTGTTTTAAACTGAGAAACTTTGTCCCTGCACTTTACACTGGAACTTGTATCTTCAAAATACTCTGTTGGAATTAGGTTTCACAAAACTCTCAAACCGATCATAGTAGTTTTTAAGTACTTTACGGTCATCTGCATTCATATTCCAAGTTTCTAATACGGTTCTGCCTTATCTCCAACCCATAACATCAAGAAATTACATCTTTCTGCTTCTGATTTGCTTTTCAGAGGGCCACCAAACATGAAATCAAAATGCGTTTTAAACTGTTTCAATGTTGTCGGCATATCTCCACTGTCCCAGTTCATAACTGGGTTTGATCCAGCCATTCTAGACATTTTGATCACATTTTCTTAGTAAAACACATCAAACTTTTTTAAATTTGCGTGAGATACTGTTAAATAGATCCTAAAGTTTATACCTGCCCATGTATTTTCCCCATGTCATCGATGGGTTCGGATTTCGGACACCATGTAATGTCTAGTAATGAAGACACATGGCTGGCACTTGCAAGACCCTTTATTCGGAGTGGTCTCCCCTTACATGTATTATGTGGGGATAATGGGGCTAACATGGATATATTAGGAGTGCTTCACAACATATATTACACATACTAAATTTGACGAGTTGCCTTGTTTAAAGAATAAACGCCGGTGAACTGACTCAACATTGACGCAATACTGAAAGAAATATTTGATACAAAACAACGCCTGTCATATTAGATAGAGAGTGAAAGAAACATTCTAATAGGAATGTTCTTGCAAGAAGTGGCGTTAAGCTAACAACAATCGTCTAGACTGGGAGCCGTAATTTGTTTAAAGCAAATTCAAGTGATGTGAGAGGTTGAATTTCCATTGGTTAATGGAAGGGACATAACTCGTATTAGCCACTGGTAAAACTACTAGCCCAGAAATTACAGCCCAGCTCGGCAAGAGTGGAAAATGGAGTTTTACATTCAGTTAACTCCCTTGCCTCGGGAAGATGCGAAGATAGCTGCATGTGTAATAATGCTTATAAAGTGAACAGATTTTTTTAAAAAGTCCAGCGATAAGGTGAGCGGAGGTGAAATGGGGTTTGACGTCGCGTCCAAGATGATTGCACTCACATAGCGACGTGCATGCACGTGTGTCTCCGGCTGCTTGTACTAGTCCGGATTGATGCCGATTTATAGTGCTAGCCCACTGAGATACCACGCCGCAGTTTAACATGAATACCCCACTCATACACTGACCCCGAGGCGACCAGTCCTTGTTTTAGCCCCTTTATGTCGAGCGCCAGACAGGGTAACAAGAAGTACCATCTTTTAACGTCTTTTGGTATGACGCGGCCGGGGATCGAACCCTGGACCTTCCAGCCATAAGGAATATTATTACAGTAATGACAAAAATTGCAAAGTGAGCTTTTCAAGAAATATCCGTTTTGTTGGCAATATCATTGAGTTTTTATCACATGGTTAATTCTTGATTGTGTCCACACCTTGGATTTTGTTTGGAGACTGGGTATTTTTTCAGCTACAGCTATGAGACTAAATATTTGGGGGTTTTAAAACACACATCTTGCAACAATGTATATTTTGTGGCAGACATTTTTTTTTCCAACAGTCTGAAGTATAGTTCTAATCGCATTTTCTAGTGCTACAGTATAGAAAAGATTGATCATCTACGTATATGACACTAAATTTCTACGTAGATGATACTTACATCTACGTAGACGATACTTACATCTACGGAGACGATACTTACATCTACGTAGGTCATACTTTCATCCCTGTATGTGATATTATAATCGAACGTATCGTTTCTCAGACAGTGATATAGTCCGGTGAAGTTGCAATACCAGTTGGATACAAACATATATATTTTAAATTAAGGTGATTACTTAAATACTGTCAAATTTTATTAAATGTTTGGGAGCATGTTGGTTGTTTTGTTTTGTTTTCAACGTGTCAAACTATTAGCGCTAAAATTAAAAAACACAATCTGACGAATTGTACCTTCAGTGCTTTATAGGAAGATGACGAGTATTGGTTTGATATAGGTTTATAAATTAGTTTGAGTGATTCTCACCCCTTCACTTCACGGTCTACCTCTCAACCCTAATTTCCGTCATGGAGAAATCACGAGGGTCAACATATTCCTCCGGCTTTAACCATGTTATGGTTAATATATAATTTCGCTCAAATTTTGAAGCGTCGATTACTCGAGAAAATATTGATACCTAGATGAAAGCAGTATCATCATCAGTATCATATCATCTACGTAGATATTTTTGTTTAGACTGTGGCACTAACACCCTTCCATACCAAGGCCTTGTGCGATTACATTGCCGAATTTCTAACTAATTGTACGTGTAATCATGTTGACGTCTAATCACTGTGGTCTGATATATGTGTAAGAACATTACTTGGAATATTTTAATGAAGAATGAAACACGTATCCTACACGTATCTGCATGTGGTAAGAATAGTTATATTATGTATTGAATTCAAACTTTCTTAGATTCCAGTTTTCATTACAACTATCGACTTGGTATTGATGATATTTCAATGAAAAAATGGCAATTATCTTTGTTAAATGAATTCTGTAATAAGTTGTCATCTTTAAAAAATCGAGTCTGGACCAGACAGTCCAGTGATTAATATAAGGAGCACCGATCCACTCAATTGGATCGATGACATGCATCAACGAAGTCAGCGAGCCTGACCACCCGATCCCGTTAGTCGCCTCGTACGATAAGCATAGTCTCCTTTTACGGCAAGCATGGGTTGCTGAAGACCTATTCTACCCCGGATCTTCACGGGTGAGCATGCTTGGGAAAAAACAAAAACACCAACTTATTGAAATGTAGAATGGGTCAGTGGCCTAACATTACTGAAATACATCTATGTCTATGTCTATAAAATCGTCAACCTCTTCAACTTCAGCAATGTTAAAGGTAAGCTTTTCAGATCTTTCTTCACCAGAAGGGAACCCAGGTGACCGAGTTGTCTAAGGCGCCGCAGTTCACTGTGGAGAACTGCATACCAGAAACCCAACATCGTGGGCTCCAATCCCAGATTCGACCTGATTATATTTCCAGGTTTGTCAACACCACAACCCAATCTCATTAAAATCAGATCTTAGTTCTCGCTACTGTAAACAAAGGTCTGGGTACATCCTATTGCGGGTCATATCAGAACGACCTTTCGCGAACTTTGACCAATGAAATGACTAACAAGAGTTTCCACTAACGTGGCTATATCCCCCTTTTTGCAGAATTTATGACATAATTAAATCTAAACAAACCCTAACCTTTTTTAACCGAGGTGGAACTTGTCATTGAAATTGTTAAAAAAAGAAGAGTTTGGAACCTAAGTCCATCTTGCTGCCATGGAAACGTAAAAAATAATAATTTCTAAAATTTCTAAATAGCAAAAGGCACCAGTTCAGCAAGTACCTAACAAACCTGCAAACTTTCATTAAAAGTATTGAACGGTTTATGAGTTATGCTCCGGAAACAAACCCTACCCGCACAGAACCTAAGCCCATCTTGTTGCCATGGAAAGGTAAAAAAATATTTTAAAATTTCTAAATAGCAAAAGGCACCAGTTCAGCTGTACCTGACAAACCTACAAAGTTTGATGAAAAAGAATTGAACGGTTTCTGAGTTATGCTCCTGAAACGAAACGTGGCGGACGGACGAAGCCCGTTTCTATATCCCCCGCATACTTTGTTGGGCGGGGGATAAGTCGACATTAGTCATTCAGGAAGCAGCTTTCTCGAGCAAAACAGCGCTTGTTTCAAACCGGTGACAACACTTTCAAAAATAGCCTGACAAAGTTTTGATTCGAAATGTGAAAACTTAACAAAAGAACATACTGGACTGTCCAATAGATGGCCTAGATTATATGGCACTACTTCCTACGGACAATGCAAAGTCTCTTCCGTTCAAATGTTCATCAAATTGAAGCTGGGAGTCTATATAGAGACCTCTTTGTGTTGTATCCCTGCATTGAATCGACAGATAGACCATGTTCTTGACTGAATCAATCGTAAAGCCCGTAACTGTCGTTCGGAATATCCCGTGTTTAGCTTATAGACTGGTCCATTTTTTGTGGATACTACGAAAATAAATGGGATGCTGCCACTTCGCGAAAATATATCACAAAGATCTGCAAGTAGCGAACGTTGAAACTGTCGAAAAGCAGAAGGATCACACAACAAGTAAGTAAGGTTCAATAACGAGTTTATTAATTAATCATTGAACTGAAAAATCTTGTACAATGTCTCGAGATCGCGAGACATGATACCGGCTGTCAACTGTACAGTCGCTCGGCATTGTCTGTCACATCGTGGCTCTGGAATCCGGTACTTGTCTGTATCCCTCCCACGATTGATATATCTGAACTGCTTAAACAATGAAATTGTACAAACTTTGAAACTTGAAAGTGTACGAAGTTGGCTGAAACCAGAACTGGATCCATGTAATGTAAAGAATACATTCCGGAAGTCGCATGACCCAGAATGAATGCCGAGGACGACACATCTCCTAGAGCTGTCGAAATGTGATATAAGTAATTAAAACATGGGAATACTTAATAATCATACAGGATCGACTCTAGAACGATCCCTGTAGACATTGGTAGGTAAAAGCCCTTGACTGTGACGGTCGGAATGACCTTGGACCCCCCGGATTTCATCTACCCGATCCCCGTTTAGACCAACTCTTAAAATAGCAATAGGTTAGTTGAAGCGACAATTAGGCATGGACCGCCTGTGAAGCCATCTCTCCATTTCAGTTTTCATAACAAGGAATGCAGAAAACACAAATGTACAAGAAGACATGTTCTTCAAGCAACAGCTTTATCACAAACATTTTTAGCAGAATATTATATAAATTTTAATTCATGTATGAAACAAAATGTGTGTTATCAAAAATAGTCCAAAATAGTCCAAATGGTTTGTCCGAAAGGTCCTAAAATTAGTAGTTCACACAACATTGGCACAGCAAACAAATCTAAAGTCTATCTCTCCGTGAAGAAACTCTGGAACATGTATTTCACACAGGACACAAGGACAGCCGAGCATGACTGGGGCTGCTTGGATTCTTCACCAAGATCTATCTCCACAACTTGAGGGCGGGCTCTGAGGGCAGGGGCGGGGAGGGAGGGCTGGGGGTCGGGCTGGGATGAGAGGGGGTTGACGGTGATCGTGAAGACACTGGGGCGCTTATAGAGAGGAAATAGATGTCCTTAAATCATTGAAATCAGTATCAATCCACAGTTAAGCGTGTATGAAATAAACATGAAAAGGTCGACCATTTGTTCCTACTTTATCTGGATATTTAAACGAATAGCAAGTGAAGATATACCGCCTACCGACTAACATAGAGAAATGCGACAAAAACATATCGATAATCGCCCAATATCTGTATTTGTACAATTCCTGCAGTATCATGAGAGTCAGGGCACGATTGAGGAATTAGATATACATGTAGCTTGCACCTGGTGCAAGTTTTCATCCCAACCATTTTTCACTAGACAAAATCGATTGCACTCATAACTGAACCCATAAAATAAAGAAGAAAATATCATCTCAAATCCTAGAATGAAAATCAGTGTCGTTAATAATTTGAAATTTTCATTTCACTGACAAGATCACTTTAAATGGAATCACTTATACATCCCATATATTCGTTTGTATTCTTGTCATTTATCATAAGACTGACGTGATAAGATTCATGACGAAAAGCACAAAGGACAATGTCAAATTACACAAAACACTGGGAATGTGATGTAGTATGGTACAAAAAGTGTATTGAGTTCAAAGATGTAAATGTAGAAAGCCTTTTTAGTAAGTCAGTAACAAATTTGTAAAATTTGTACATCCACTGGGTGCAAGTACAGATATAAAATAGGCTGCATTTTTCAATATCAGGTGGCACTTGTGCCTTTATTTTTGTTAAATCGAGCCCTGGTCATGAGCATGTGTTTTTCAATCACTAACAAATAGTGGTGATAACTGTTGTTTGTGAAAAGGTCATGTATAGGGAAACGGAAGTAGTTTGATCATATATATTACAGAATAAGGGAGTGGTAGAACAATGCAAGTCAACTTTGTTTGCCAGACATAAGTTCTGATTATTAAAAGCTTCGTTACTATATAACATACATAGTTATCTTAATAATGTTTAACACAGATGACTTGTTTCGAACTAATGAAAGTTGCAAAGGTTCTCGAATTTGTTTTTCTGATACTAATAGGACACACTCAAACAACTTGAACCTAATGATGACCTACAGGATCAGGGACAGGAAGAGTCTTTTGGTAGACGGGGGCCTGGTAGTTCCTAAACCTGTGGAGATCGTCCTGGGCTATAATGGAATAAATAAAATAAAAAACAACATCCATCCTCATTGTATAGACTATAACATAGATGGGTTGTTTTTATAGAAACATAATTCCTGTGTGTGTTTAGGAGCCTCAGCAAATTATGCAAACGTTGCAGAGGTCTGTGCCAGGAAGTTAGGTTGAGGTAAAATGGTCACTGGACATTTTGGGACAAGAGAGACCTATACTTTTCAAGTCCCTCCGCTTGACACCACATATGAAAACCTACACAAATCATGTTTTACTGACTGCATCCCATTACCACGGGAAGAAAAGGGGAAACACAGATCTATTGTTACTTTGATCATATACCATGATACTTTTACAATGATTAATATGATTTAACCATGGGAATTGATTGGTACAATTCATATTTATAACATCCATACACATTCACTTCACAAAAGATCAACTGTAAAACACAAAGTACATAAATATATACGAGGGACCGGCGACGTTCATGAAATGTCCCATCTGCTAATGAGTATGTCAGTCATTCTCTTTCACTTATATTGTTACCAAATGTTTACGGCAGATTCAAGTTGGGAATACAATCCGTCAAAAGGTATCAATCTGTAAGATTTGAAATCAAGATAAAAAGCAAAATTAAGTTAAAATTGAGACCACTTCTAGATACCTTGATGATAAACCAAAGCAACAGCGGCATACATCGTGATGAACGTGCGATACGTGCGGGATAAAGAGTAAAATGCAAACTCAGACGTGGAAACAAAGTGCAGGAGCAACAACCAAAATGGCGTCTTTTGTGAATAACGGAAGTAGCAACGGTCGCCAAGGAGATCCATCAGCGATCGCCGCGTCTCGTTGCTTTCCGTAGGCTATAATTGACACAATAATTGACACAAATGATATCCTTTTGATCACGACTGGGAAATCTGTTATACCTTGAATACATGGTGCACCGTGAGTTTTCATGCGACGATACGATACATGAAACGTTATAATCTGTGTCGATACTAGACTGGGGTCCTGTCTACTAAACATAGTATATCGCGCTAAGCTTGCGTCGCGTACCAACAGTGGAACCAGTTTATATCGATACAAGACGATACACTTGCTAAACTTACCACTCGTTTAATGACTCCCACTGTTTTGTGCCAGTTAAATATCGCAGATGTGTTGAAGCTCCTTCCGAGCGCGTGACACCTTCGTTTCCCTCTCGGTAAAATCCCATTCGTGACCAACTCGTGTTATTCCGGGACAAGCCGAATAGCGACTCGTGCCCCGCTTGTGGCCATTTTTGCAACCTGGTTCCTTCTTAGCGCAAACGGGGATACTTAAAACAATTGTCAACTCGTTGCGTAATAGTTCACATATATTTCCCCATATATTATATATATTTCAGATGCTATTTAAAACGCATCGGGACATGCGGAATTTACAGTATGAGTGAACACATTTATCTGTGTTTTGGCTATATTTTTAGATGCAAGACATATGTAAAATCAAATATTATTTCTGAAGGATTCGTTGACGAAGAACTTGAAATCACACGCGCATTCTAATTGGTTTGTCGTATTTTCGCACATAACATTCACCGATAGGGGGACGAGTGTTCTTTGCGAGTTACGGAAAGGAGCGAGTCGTGACGAATGCACCCATGCATCGCCACTCGCCACTTTCCGTAACCTTCAATTCGGTTTGTCCCGGAATTACACAAATGATCTCTGCCGTCGGTGTGGAAGCGGCCATTACAAGTTTTTGACATTAGGCCTCTAAATGTAGTCACGTTTATATGTTGGTTTATGTATTTGGGAATGCCATCATAGTTAAAAAAATATCTTCCCCTTTACATTCTTACTATACCAGTTGCATGATAGTTGAAATGAGAAAATGATTCAGCTGGGGTAAGAGTATTCGGCGTCACGGCAGTCACAACACCACCACCACAGGCTAATTTGCATATCACATGACCCGACTTTTCTCTTATTCTGAAATAAGAACTGATTTGCCTAATGCAAGTTTTTGGAGCGCTTTACATGTTGTTTTAGATAATTACATACATATCTTCCTACAACTGAGACATTGAGGTGCATGACAATATATCTTTATACATCAAAGTGGCCGTATTGCTCTCTCTCGGTAGGGGTTTGATGACAGCACAACCAATGTAAACAAAGGATAACTCCGCAAATGGAAAGTTCTTTACGTATTAGGACATTTTCTCAATGAAATTAACCATTCCATGCCAAATGTTTATCTAGATGTGAAGACTTGTCAAAAATGAAACAGGTGAAAACATATTCAATTTGTTGAATGGACTGTGTAATACCCCGAACACCTCTCTACATATGTGTGTATATTTGCACACGTGTGTTTATATGCATACGTGACTATACTTGTCACGTGAACGCGTTTACTCACGTATGTATATTAACACCAGCAGCAAATTTACATCATGTCTGGAGCAGGTGCAAATGTAAATGTAAATTTGCCCTGTATGGATATGTTGTAATGTGAATGTTTATGCCAACGTCAGAGGATGATCAAATTACTATATATCTGTTGTTTTGCCAATAACAAACACGTTGTAAACAGTTCTCCATTCTGAAAATGACACTTTTCAGACTACAGCAATGCCAACCTTTATGCTGACATTCAGAGCTGGGTGGACGGTGTTAATATCTGTAAGGCAACTCTCTTCTCATGATTCGAAAACAACTTTTTCATGTTGAAAGTCGTGAACAGACCCATGAATATGTGTGCTTTACGCCATTTACATACCTTATTTACACACTTAAGTTACTTTTCATGTGAACGCATAGTAAATTTAGCTTTCGTGACAGCCATAGTATAAGAAAGCTCCGCGAACGGGCTATCGCTGTGAGGAGCTTGATTAGTACAACGTATGGAATCTAGCGTCTAATGGTTGGTTGTTTAACGCCGCACTCACCAATATTCCAGCTATATGACGGCGGTCTGTAAATAATGGAACCTGGACCAGATAATCCAGTGATTAATATCATGAGCATCGATCCACGCAATTGCGATCGATGACATGCATCAACCAAGTCAGCGAGCCTGACCACCCGATCGCGTTAGTCGCCTATTCTTGACCTATTCTACTCAGGATCTTCGCGGGTCGCGTCTAATGGAATGAGTACTTTGCCGATTGTGTACAACTGGGCGGCATGCTGTTTGAAAATCATTTAGTCCATGAATGAATTTCCATTATGACTGATACTAAAAACCCGATGGAAGTTTATTGTCAATAAATATATTCAAGACATACGGTTTGCAATCTAAGTAGGTTGATTCCCATAACATTTCTTCCCAAATTATCGATTGCATAAACCTCGTCGCAGTTACGGGACATCCTGTAAATGAATCCAAACTTCATTTCCACCTGAAATCGACTTAATTGTTGCCTTAGAAACGTAGAATGCCTTAAATGGTTTCTGCACACTACGTGTGTGCATACAAAGTTTGACGAGTTGCCTTGTTTTAAGAATTAACGCCGGTGAACTGACACAACATTGACGCAAAATTGAAAGAAATATTTGATACAAAACAACAAAGAAATATGATAGTGTCGCACGTCGTATCTTTTACATAGAAGAAATACGTACATACTGTATACACATAAAGTGATTTCCATATGATTAGGGAAACAGTTTATCTAAAACAGTATGACATAGGGTCATAACTCGTATTAGCCACTGGGCGAAGAAATTCCAGCTGAGATAGGCAAGGGTGGAAAATGGAGTCTTACACTCAGTTAACTCCCTTGCCTCGGGAAGAGTGAGTGAGTGAGTTGGGTTTAACATTATCCCAGTTATAACACGGCGTGTCAGCTTATAATTAATGTGGGGGGGTAAGCCCGAAGTGACGCAGGTCTCAGACGTTTACCACTTCGGTGAAACCCACGAGCACGGCTATGGTGCTGACAAACCTAGAAACAAAATCGGGGCGAACCGCCTTAGACCGTGCCCCTGCCTCGGGAAGATGCGAAGATAGCTGCATGTGTAATAATGCTTATAAAGTGAAAAGATTTTTAAAAAGTCATTCCAGCGATAAAGAATGTTACTTACAGTAATGACAAAAATTGCAAATATTCGTTTGTCGCGATGTCATTGAAATTTGATCACGTGGCTAATTCCTGATTTTGTCCACGCCTGGGATTTTGTATGCAAAACCAGATACTTTTTAAAAGGAAATTATGAGCCTAAATATTTGGTGTGGGTTTTTTAAACACGCACTTTTACTTTTTGGAGGCAGATAGTTTCTTTCTTTTCCAACAGTCTAATGTATAATTTTTCACGCATGTTCTGAGACAATTTCTTTTCAATAAAAACGGTCGGTGCCCTAAGGCCTTGTGCGATTACACTGAGAATTGCTGCTTACTAATTTTACGTGTAATCATGTTGACGTCGAATCACTGTGTTCTGATATATGTATAATAATATTATTTGGAATATATTTATGAGGAAAGAAATACGCATCCTACACGTATCTGCATGTGGTAAGAACAGTTGTATTTATGTTTTGAATTCAAACGTTTTGAGGTTCAAATTTTCATTACAACTATCAACTTGTGTATTGATGATATTTCAATGGAAAATTGGTAATTATTTTTGTTACATGAATTCTATAATTAGTTGTCTTCTTGATGTATTATTAATAAAATACCGTATTAATGTGAACATTATTGCTGAACTTTTGAAACATATTGTACCAACTGCTAATATATGTATACCAGCTTGCTTGGAAACAAAACCCACCAACTTATTGAAATGTAGAATGGACCAGTGGCCTTACATTACTGAAATACATCTATGTCTATGTCTATGAAATCGTCAACATCTTCAACTTCAGCAATGTTAAAGGTAAACTTTTCAGCTCTTTCTTCACCAGAAGGGAGACACAGGTGACCCAGTTGTCTAAGGCGCCGCAGTTCACTGTAGAGAAATGCAAACCAGGAACCCAACATCGTTGGATCCAATCACAGATTTGACCTGATTATATTTCCAGGTTTGTCAGCACCACACCCCAATCTCATTAAAATCAGATCTTAGTTCTCGCAACCGCTAAACAAAGATCTGTGAACATCCTATTGCGAGTCATAACAGAACGACCTTTCGCGAACTTTGACCAATAAAATGACTAACAAGTCGACATACGCCATTCAGAATGCAGCTTTCTCGAGCTATACAGCGCCGGTGACTATACTTTCAAAAATATTTTGACAAAGTTCTCGATTCGAAATGTGAAACTTAACAGATGAACATACTGGACTGTCTATTAGATGGCCTAGATTGTATGGCACTACTTCCAACAGACAATGTAAAGTCACCTCCGTTCCAATGTTTATCTTATTGAAGCAGGGAGTCTACATAGAGACCTCTTTGTATTGTTTCCCTGCATTAAAACGACAGATAGACGATGTTCTTGACTGATTCAATTGTAAAGCCGGTAACTGTCGTTGGGAATATCGCGTGTTTAGCTTTTAGACTGGTCGATATTTTCTTGAGGATAAACTACGAAAATAAATGGATGCTGCCACCAGTCATAAAGTGTGACAAAATATATACCAGAGCTTGGAGACGAGGTTTCGCGAAAATATATCACAAAGATCAACAAGTATCGAACGTCGAAATGCAGAAGGATCACACAACAGGGAGATAAAGTTCAATAACGAGTTTATTAATTAATCACTGAACTGAAAAATCTGTACAAAGTCTCGAGATCGCGAGACACGATAGCGGCTGTCAACTGTACTGAAAACATCAGTCGCTCGGCATTGTCTGTCACAATCCGGTACTTGTCTGTATCCCTCCCACGATTGATATATCTGAACTGTTAAAATAATGAAATTGTACAATAAACTTTGAAACTTGAAAGTGTACGAAGTTGGTTGAAACCAGAACTGGATCCATGTAATGTAATACATTCAGGAAGTCACGTAGCCCTGAATGAATGCCGAGGACGCCACATCTCCTAGAGCTGTCGAAATGCAATATAAGTAATTAAGTCATGAGACTAAACAATCATATAGAACTACTTGGCGTGGAGTCTTTGGGCGGGAGGTTTTGATGTTTTGATTTTTCTGCGCTGACATAGTGAACAAATCCTTAAAAAATCAAGCACCATTTCATCTACCTGATCCCCATTTTGATCAACTCTTAAAATAGCAATAGGTTAGTTGAAGCAACAATTTGGCATGGACCGCATGCGAAGCCATCTCTTGATTTCAGTTTTCATAACAAGGAATGCAGAAAACATGAATGTACACGACACGTTCTTCAAGCAACAGCGTTTATCACATACATTTTAAGCAGAATATGATATAAATTTTAATTCATGTATGAAACAAAATGTATGTTATCAAAAATAGTCGTAAATAGTCCAAATGGTTAGTCCAAAAGTTCCTAAAACTAGTAGTTCACACAACATTAGCACAGCAAACAACTCCAAAGTCTATCTCTCCGTGAAGAAACTCTGGAAAATGTATTTCACACAGGACACAAGGACGGCCGAGCATGACTGGGGCTGCTTGGATTCTTCACCAAGATCTATCTCCACAACTTGAGGGCGGGCTCTGAGGGCAGGGACGGGGAGGGAGGTCTGGGGTTCGGGCTGGGATGAGAGGGGGTTGACGGTGATCGTGAAGACACTGGGGCGCTTACAGAGAGGAAATAGATGTCCTTAAATCATTGAAATCAGTATCAATCCACAGTTAAGCGTGTATGAAAAAAACATGAAAAGGTCGACCATTTTGTACCTACTTTATCTGGATATTTATCGTAGTATATACCGCCTGTCGACTAACATAGAGAAATGCAACGAAACCATTTCTGTAATCACAGAAAATCTGTATTTGTACGATTCCGACAGTATCATGAGAGTCAGGGCACGATTTAGGAATTAGATATAGCTTGCACCTGGTGCAAGTTGACATCCCAACCATTTTTCACTAGACTAAACCGATTGCACTCATATTGGAAACTATTACATAATAAAGAAAATATCATCTCAAATACCAGAATGAAATCAGTGTCATCAATATTTTGACATTTTCAGTTCATTGACAAGATCACTTTGAATGGAATCACTTATACATCCCACATATTTGTTTGCATTCTTGTTCTTATCATAAGACTGACCTGATAAGGTTCATGACGAAAAGCCAAAAGGACAATGTCAAATTACTCAAAACATTGGGAATGTGATGTAGTATGGTACAAAAAGTGTATTGAGTTCAAAGATGTAAGTGTAGAAAGCTTTTTTAGTAAGTCAGTAACAGATTTGTAAAATTTGTACATGCACTGGGTGCAAGTATAGATAAATAATAGGCTACATTTTTCCATATCAGAGGGCACTTGTGCCTTTATTTTTGTTAAATCGAGCCCTGGGCCCCGTTCCACAAAGCGATCTTAGCGCTACGTCGATCGTAACTCCCATTCTTTAACACTGACTTACGACAATCGTAGCGCTAAGATCGCTTTGTGGAACGGGGCCCAGGTCATGAGCATGTGTTTTTCAATCACTAACAAATAGTGGTGATACAAGTTGTTTGTGAAAAGGTCATGTATAGGGAAACGGAAGTAGTTTTATCATATGTATTACAGAATAAGGGAGTGGTAGAAAAATGCAAGTCAACTTTCTTATGTTGTATGTTAGAAATGAGTTCTGATTATTAAAAGCTTCGTGACTATATAATATGTATAGTTGTCCTGATAATGTTTAACATAGATGACATGTTCCGAACTAATGTAAGTTGCAAAGGTTCTCGAATTTGTTTTTTCTGATACTAATAAGACACATTCAAACAACTTGAACCCAATGATGACCTACAGGATCAGGGACAGGAAGAGTCGTTTGGGAGACGGGGGCCTGGTAGGTCCTAAACCTGTGGAGATCGTCCTGAGCTATAATGGAATAAATAAAATAAAAAACAACATCCATCCTCATTGTATAGACTATAACATAGATGGGTTGTTTTTATAGAAACATAATTCCTGTGTGTGTTTAGGAGCCTCAGCAAATTATGCAAACGTTGCAGGGTTCTGTGCCAGGAAGTTAGGTTGAGGTAAAATGGTCACTGGACATTTTGGGACAAGAGAGACCTATACTTTTCAAGTCCCTCCCCTTGACACCACATATGAAAACCTACACAAATCATGTTTTACTGACTGCATCCCATTACCACGGGAAGAAAAGGGGAAACACAGATCTATTGTTACTTTGATCATATATCATGATACTTGACAATGATTAATATGATTTTACCATAGGAATTGAATTGGTACTATTCATATTAATAACATCCATACACATTCACTTCACAAAAGATCAATTGTAAAATACAAAGTACATAGACATATACCAGGGACCGTCGAAGTACATGAAATGTCCCATCTGTAAATGAGTATGTCTGTCATTCTCTTTCACTTTTATTGTTACCAAATGTTTAGGACCGGATTCAAGTTTGGAATGCAATCCGATAAAAGGTATCACTCTCTAAGCTTTGAAATCAAGATAAAAAAACAAAATTAAGTTAACACTGAGACCACTACTAGATACCTTGATGATAAACCAAAGCAACAGTGGCATACATCGTGAAGAACGTGCGATACGTGCGGGATAATGAGCAAAATGCAAACACAGACGTGGAAACAAAGTGCAGCAGCAACAACCAAAATGGCGTCGTTTGTGAATAACGGAAGTAGCAACGGTCTCCATGGAGATCCATCAGCGATCGCCGCGTCTCGTTGCTTTCCGTAGCTTGCATGTCCCGGAATAATTGCCACAAATGATATCCTTTTGATCACAACTTGGAATACCTTAAATATATGGTGCACAGTGAGTTCTCATGCGACGATACGATACACGAAAAGTTATTTTCTGTGTTGATACTAGACTGGGGTCCTGTCTACTAAAACTAGTATATCGCGCTAAGCTTGCGTCGCGTACCAACACTGGAACCAGTTTATATCGATACACGACGATAAACTTACTACTCGTTTAATGACTCCCACTGTTTTGTGCAGTTACATATCGCAGCTGTGTTGAAGTAAGTGTTTAAAGTTAACTCACAAACATTGCGGCTTCGAACATGTGTCTGCTGCAACTTTTACCTTTAGAGCCTGCTCTGAAATATCGAGTTTCCACGCGATTTTGACCCATATATGTGTATCGCGATACGTATCGTATCGTGACCTAATATGTATCGTGATACGTATCGTATAGTGACCTTGCTGTATCGTTTGACCCCGATATTGTTGGTTCTACTGTATATATATTTCTGGCCACTAACCGAGTGGTGTCCACCTTGCATGTCCAAACCACGATTATGACTAATGCCTGACAGTGAGTTGACAACAGATGATGGGTTAACAATCATTCCATACAAAATGTACCTGGAACAAAATACCTTTTTTGTGTATTTCTGTTGTAACACGCGCCGTGTGTTTGCATTCCAACACAATGACCGTGACCTTTTCCTGTCAAGGGCAATAATTCATATAGAGTGTGTAGAGTGGTTTCCCTTTGACTTACACAAGCTCCTTCCCAGCGCGTGACAGATTCGATGTCGCTGTGAGGAGCTTGACGAGTATAACGTTTGGAATATATAGCGTCTAATGGAGTGAGTACTTTGCCGATGGTGTATAACTGGATGTCATGCTGTTTGAAAATCATTTAGTCCATGAATGAATATTCCATTATGAATAATACAAAAACAAAACAAAAAAACGATGGAAGTTTATTGTAAAAAAATAAAATAAAAATACTCAAGATATATAAGGTCGGTTTGCAATCTAAGTAGGTTGATTCCCATAACATTTCTTCCCAAATTATCGATTGCATAAACCACGTCGCAGTTACGGAACATCCTGTACTTTATGTGTGTATGTTTCATATAATGCCATATAATGCACGTATTCCTTGTCCTGGTAGATCGCGTATCTAACCTGTTAAGCACTTGCCTAATGTGTATGTGAAGTTTTATATAAATATTAAACAGATTATGACTACTGCTCCGGAAAGAATCCAAACTTCATTTCCGAATGAATTCGACTTAAACTGTTGCCTTGGAATCGTAGAACAAAATCTGAATGGCAAAATACATTTTCATCACATTACTTGTGTATTTACTAAGTTTGACGAGTTGCCTTGTTGAAAGAATAAACGCCCATGAAGTGACTCAACATTGAAGCAATATTGAAAGAAATATTTGATACAAAACAATGTCATATTTATAAGAAGAGATAGAGAGCAAAAGAAATATAAGAGTGTCGCACGTCGCATCTTTTACAAAGAAGAAATACGTACATACTGTATACAAATAATAGTGATTTCCATATGATAAGGCTTGAGTATATTTAAATAATATGACATATAAATAATATAAATATATAATATAGATAATAATACTACAAACCTAATTCAGGAATGTTTTTCCAGGAAGTGGCGTTAAGCCTACAAAAATCGTCTTGACTGGGCGCTGCTATTTTGTTCGAAGAAAATTCAAGTGATATGAGATGTGGACTCTCATTGGTCAATCGAAGGGACGGACATAAGTCGTAATAGCCACTGGTGGCTCTACGTTCGAGCCCAGAAATTCCAGTCTATTTTCGCAAGGCTGGAGAGTTGAGTGAATGGAGTGTAATAATGCTTATAAAGTGAAAAGATTTATAAGAAGCTATTCCAGCGATTAGGAATATTATTTATATTACAAAAATTGCAAAATGCGCTTAGAAATAAAGAAATATCCATTTTGTTGGCGATATACATCACCATTGAGTTTTGATCACGTGGTTAATCCCCGACTTTGTTTGTTTGTTGTTTAACGCCGCACTCAGCAATATTTCAGCTATGTGGCGGCGGTCAGTTAAAAGTCGAGTTTTTTTGTGGCAGACATATTCTTTTTTTACAAGTCTGATTCATACACTTTCACGCATTTTCTGAGTCAGTTTCTTTTCTTCGATAAAGAAGGTCGGTGCCTAAGGCCTTGTGCATTACATTACATAATCTCTGCTAACCAATTTTACGTGCAATCATGTCGACGTCTAATCTCTGTGGTCTGATAAATATATGATAACACTATTTTGAATATTTGTTTGAGGAAAGAGACACGTATCATGTAAGTGAATTCTTCGTTTTCAACTTTCCGTGTAAATCACCTCCAGTCGAATTGGGCCATTCTTTCTGTACCAACATATTTCTCAAGAACATCCGTGCACAAGAAATAATATTAATTTGTGATACAATAATAACTGATTTCCAGAACCTATGGCATTTAGCCATGGACCCTTAGTACAGTATACATTTTTTTCACGTTGAGTAAGTGGTACATTTTGTTTTGGACAAGACTTGATAAATATAATAGGATTTATCATATAATGGGTGGGTTTCTCGGCAGGAAACTATGTCCGCTCGGGTCATATGCGGATAGAGATGCAAGTAGGGACTACTTTCACTGTTTATAAACGATTGTGCAAGCCAACTTTATGTCATAATAAGTTTCTTTGAGAGGCATTTAGAAGTTGGAGTACCAAGTAAGGACAAGATATAATATGGATGAACAACTTCCTTATTACGATTAGGAGCGACGTTTCGGTGTAGGTTCTAACACCATTATCAAGCTTAGTATTTCATAATAAGTTGATATCCTACAACTCGGAATGACAATCCAAATGAAGCAAACTTTTTTTCATATGAAAGCTTATGTACTTTTTCAAATTCGCAACATCTATGATAGCCTGAAACCCACATTGCTACTTGTAGGTATATTTACATGGGTATCTGTGATAATGGACATAGAACGACCTTTCGCGAACTTTGACCGACAATTAGTCGACATAAGCCATTCAGAAAGCAGCTTTCTAATGTTTCTCATTGAAGCAGAGAGTCTATATAGAGACCTCTTTGTATTGTCTCCGTGCATGGAATCATATTTTCTAGTGGATAAACTACGAAAATATACGGATGCTGCCACAAGTTATAAAGTGTGACAAAATAAATTCCAGAGCTTGGAGACGAGTTTTCGCGAAAATATATCACAAAGATCTACAAGTAGCGAACGTCGAAACTGTCGAAATGCAGAAGGATCACACAACAAGGAGGTTTAAGTTCAATAACGAGTTTATTAATTAATCACTGAACTGAAAAGTTTGTACAAAGTCTCGAGATCGCGGACACGATACTAGCTGTCAACTGTACTGGAAACATCAGTCGTTCGGCATTGTCTGTCACAACGTGGCTCTGGAATCCGGTACTTGTCCGTATCCCTCCAACAATTGATATATCTGAACTGTTAAAATAATGAAATTGTACAATAAACTTTGAAACTTGAGGACGCCACATCTCCTAGAGCTGTCGAAATGCGATCTAAGTAATTAAAGCATGGGATTAAATCATCATATGGGATCGATTCTAGAACGATCCCTGTAGACATTGGTAGGTAAAAGCCCTTGACTGTGACGTCGGAATGACCTTTGACCCCCAGGATAGAAAAATCTGTAAACTGTATTATGTTATAGGGACAATAAATCACATGCGACTTGTGATAACTGTAACTTGTATACTTGAATCATTACGATCTTGGAATATTTTGGTGAGGTAACAAAACTAAATTAATTAAGCTTTTATCCATTTTTGAACTGATGTCTTCCATCAATAATAACTGTTCAGATTCTGACAGCAAGATTTTTGTTTACCAACAGGCCTGATACGTAGGAGTTCAACGTTCACATTTCAACCTCGGGCTCTGTAAGAGATAATTGCAGCATGGGAAAGCATGAATTATAGTAATTAGGAGTACCGACAATGTAACCATCCGATCCTCATTGTAATTATCTCTTAAATAACGACTGCTTGGCCGCAGTGACTGCTGCTTCTTTGTGCGGGAGCTCGACCTTCTTCGAGGTTTTGTTTGTTTTCATTTTTCTGCACTGACATAGTGAACAAATCCTTAAAAAATCAAGCACCATTTCATCTACCTGATCCCCATTTTGATCAACTCTTAAAATAGCAATAGGTTAGTTGAAGCGACAATTTGGCATGGACCGCATGCGAAGCCATCTCTTGATTTCAGTTTTCATAACAAGGAATGCAGAAAACATGAATGTACACGACACGTTCTTCAAGCAACAGCGTTTATCACATACATTTTAAGCAGAATATTATATAAATTTTAATTCATGTATGAAACAAAATGTATGTTATCAAAAATAGTCCCAAATAGTCCAAATGGTTAGTCCAAAAGTTCCTAAAACTAGTAGTTCACACAACATTAGCACAGCAAACAACTCCAAAGTCTATCTCTCCGTGAAGAAACTCTGGAAAATGTATTTCACACAGGACACAAGGACGGCCGAGCATGACTGGGGCTGCTTGGATTCTTCACCAAGATCTATCTCCACGACTTGAGGGCGGGCTCTGAGGGCAGGGACAGGGAGGGAGGTCTGGGGTTCGGGCTGGGATGAGAGGGGGTTGACGGTGATCGTGAAGACACTGGGGCGCTTACAGAGAGGAAATGGATGTCCTTAAATCATTGAAATCAGTATCAATCCACAGTTAAGCGTGTATGAAAAAAACATGAAAAGGTCGACCATTTTGTACCTACTTTATCTGGATATTTAAACAAATAGCAAGTGAGGATATACCGCCTACCGACTAACATAGAGAAATGCAACAAAACCATTTCTGTAATCACAGAAAATCTGTATTTGTACGATTCCGACAGTATCATGAGAGTCAGGGCACGATTTAGGAATTAGATATAGCTTGCACCTGGTGCAAGTTGACATCCCAACCATTTTTCACTAGACTAAACCGATTGCACTCATATTGGAAACTATTACAAAAAAAGAAAATATCATCTCAAATACCAGAATGAAATCAGTGTCATTAATATTTTGACATTTTCAGTTCATTGACAAGATCACTTTGAATGGAATCACTTATACATCCCACATATTTGTTTGCATTCTTGTTCTTATCATAAGACTGACCTGATAAGGTTCATGACGAAAAGCCAAAAGGACAATGTCAAATTACTCAAAACACTGGGGATGTGATGTAGTATGGTACAAAAAGTGTATTGAGTTCAAAGATGTAAGTGAAGAAAGCTTTTTTAGTAAGTCAGTAACAAATTTGTAAAATTTGTACATGCACTGGGTGCAAGTATAGATAAATAATAGGCTACATTTTTCCATATCAGAGGGCACTTGTGCCTTTATTTTAGTTAAATCGAGCCCTGGTCATGAGCATGTGTTTTTCAATCACTAGCAAATAGTGGTGATACAAGTTGTTTGTGAAAAGGTCATGTATAGGGAAACGGAAGTAGTTTTATCATATGTATTACAGAATAAGGGAGTGGTAGAAAAATGCAAGTCAACTTTCTTATGTTGTATGTTAGAAATGAGTTCTGATTATTAAAAGCTTCGTGACTATATAATATGTATAGTTGTCCTGATAATGTTTAACACAGATGACATGTTTCGAACTAATGTAAGTTGCAAAGGTTCTCGAATTTGTTTTTTCTGATACTAATAAGACACATTCAAACAACTTGAACCCAATGATGACCTACAGGATCAGGGACAGGAAGAGTCGTTTGGGAGACGGGGGCCTGGTAGGTCCTAAACCTGTGGAGATCGTCCTGAGCTATAATGGAATAAATAAAATAAAAAACAACATCCATCCTCATTGTATAGACTATAACATAGATGGGTTGTTTTTATAGAAACATAATTCCTGTGTGTGTTTAGGAGCCTCAGCAAATTATTCAAACGTTGCAGGGTTCTGTGCCAGGAAGTTAGGTTGAGGTAAAATGGTCACTGGACATTTTGGGACAAGAGAGACCTATACTTTTCAAGTCCCTCCCCTTGACACCACATATGAAAACCTACACAAATCATGTTTTACTGACTGCATCCCATTACCACGGGAAGAAAAGGGGAAACACAGATCTATTGTTACTTTGATCATATATCATGATACTTGACAATGATTAATATGATTTTACCATAGGAATTGAATTGGTACTATTCATATTAATAACATTCATACACATTCACTTCACAAAAGATCAATTGTAAAATACAAAGTACATAGACATATACAAGGGACCGTCGAAGTACATGAAATGTCCCATCTGTAAGTGAGTATGTCTGTCATTCTCTTTCACTTTTATTGTTACCAAATGTTTAGGACAGGATTCAAGTTGGGAATGCAACCCGCCAAAAGGTATCACTCTCTAAGCTTTGAAATCAAGATAAAAAAAAACAAAATTAAGTTAACACTGAGACCACTACTAGATACCTTGATGATAAACCAAAGCAACAGTGGCATACATCGTGAAGAACGTGCGATACGTGCGGGATAATGAGCAAAATGCAAACACAGACGTGGAAACAAAGTGCAGCAGCAACAACCAAAATGGCGTCGTTTGTGAATAACGGAAGTAGCAACGGTCTCCATGGAGATCCATCAGCGATCGCCGCGTCTCGTTGCTTTCCGTAGCTTGCATGTCCCGGAATAATTGCCACAAATGATATCCTTTTGATCACAACTTGGAATACCTTAAATATATGGTGCACAGTGAGTTCTCATGCGACGATACGATACACGAAAAGTTATTTTCTGTGTTGATACTAGACTGGGGTCCTGTCTACTAAAACTAGTATATCGCGCTAAGCTTGCGTCGCGTACCAACACTGGAACCAGTTTATATCGATACACGACGATAAACTTACTACTCGTTTAATGACTCCCACTGTTTTGTGCAGTTACATATCGCAGCTGTGTTGAAGTAAGTGTTTAAAGTTAACTCACAAACATTGCGGCTTCGAACATGTGTCTGCTGCAACTTTTACCTTTAGAGCCTGCTCTGAAATATCGAGTTTCCACGCGATTTTGACCCATATATGTGTATCGCGATACGTATCGTATCGTGACCTAATATGTATCGTGATACGTATCGTATAGTGACCTTGCTGTATCGTTTGACCCCGATATTGTTGGTTCTACTGTATATATATTTCTGGCCACTAACCGAGTGGTGTCCACCTTGCATGTCCAAACCACGATTATGACTAATGCCTGACAGTGAGTTGACAACAGATGATGGGGTAACAATCATTCCATACAAAATGTACCTGGAACAAAATACCTTTTTTGTGTATTTCTGTTGTAACACGCGCCGTGTGTTTGCATTCCAACACAATGACCGTGACCTTTTCCTGTCAAGGGCAATAATTCATATAGAGTGTGTAGAGTGGTTTCCCTTTGACTTACACAAGCTCCTTCCCAGCGCGTGACAGATTCGATGTCGCTGTGAGGAGCTTGACGAGTACAACGTTTGGAATATATAGCGTCTAATGGAGTGAGTACTTTTCCGATGGTGTATAACTGGATGTCATGCTGTTTGAAAATCATTTAGTCCATGAATGAATATTCCATTATGAATGATACAAAAACAAAACAAAAAAACGATGGAAGTTTATTGTAAAAAAATAAAATAAAAATACTCAAGATATATAAGGTCGGTTTGCAATCTAAGTAGGTTGATTCCCATAACATTTCTTCCCAAATTATCGATTGCATAAACCACGTCGCAGTTACGGAACATCCTGTACTTTATGTGTGTATGTTTCATATAATGCCATATAATGCACGTATTCCTTGTCCTGGTAGATCGTGTATCTACCCTGTTAAGCACTTGCCTAATGTGTATGTGAGGTTTTATATAAATATTAAACAGATTATGACTACTGCTCCGGAAAGAATCCAAACTTCATTTCCGAATGAAATCGACTTAAACTGTTGCCTTGGAAACGTAGAACAAAATCTGAATGGCAAAATACATTTTCATCACATTACTTGTGTATTTACTAAGTTTGACGAGTTGCCTTGTTTAAAGAATAAACGCCCATGAAGTGACTCAACATTGAAGCAATATTGAAAGAAATATTTGATACAAAACAATGTCATATTTATTAGGAGAGATAGAGAGTAAAAGAAATATTAGAGTGTCGCACGTCGCATCTTTTACAAAGAAGAAATACGTACATACTGTATACAAATAATAGTGATTTCCATATGATAAGGCTTCAGTATATTTAAATAATATGACATATAAATAATATAAATATATAATATAGATAATAATACTACAAACCTAATTCAGGAATGTTTTTCCAAGAAGTGGCGTTAAGCTTACAAAAATCGTCTTGACTGGGCGCCGCTATTTTGTTCGAAGCAAATTCAAGTGATATGAGATGTGGACTCTCATTGGTCAATCGAAGGGACGGACATAAGTCGTAATAGCCACTGGTGGCTCTACGTTCGAGCCCAGAAATTCCAGTCTATTTTCGCAAGGCTGGAGAGTTGAGTGAATGGAGTGTAATAATGCTTATAAAGTGAAAAGATTTATAAGAAGCTATTCCAGCGATTAGGAATATTATTTATATTACAAAAATTGCAAAATGCGCTTAGAAATGAAGAAATATCCATTTTGTTGGCGATATACATCACCATTGAGTTTTGATCACGTGGTTAATCCCCGACTTTGTTTGTTTGTTGTTTAACGCCGCACTCAGCAATATTTCAGCTATGTGGCGGCGGTCAGTTAAAAGTCGAGTTTTTTTGTGGCAGACATATTCTTTTTTTACAAGTCTGATTCATACACTTTCACGCATTTTCTGAGTCAGTTTCTTTTCTTCGATAAAGAAGGTCGGTGCCTAAGGCCTTGTGCATTACATTACATAATCTCTGCTAACCAATTTTACGTGCAATCATGTCGACGTCTAATCTCTGTGGTCTGATAAATATATGATAACACTATTTTGAATATTTGTTTGAGGAAAGAGACACGTATCATGTAAGTGAATTCTTCGTTTTCAACTTTCCGTGTAAATCACCTCCAGTCGAATTGGGCCATTCTTTCTGTACCAACATATTTCTCAAGAACATCCGTGCACAAGAAATAATATTAATTTGTGATACAATAATAACTGATTTCCAGAACCTATGGCATTTAGCCATGGACCCTTAGTACAGTATACATTTTTTTCACGTTGAGTAAGTGGTACATTTTGTTTTGGACAAGACTTGATAAATATAATAGGATTTATCATATAATGGGTGGGTTTCTCGGCAGGAAACTATGTCCGCTCGGGTCATATGCGGATAGAGATGCAAGTAGGGACTACTTTCACTGTTTATAAACGATTGTGCAAGCCAACTTTATGTCATAATAAGTTTCTTTGAGAGGCATTTAGAAGTTGGAGTACCAAGTAAGGACAAGATATAATATGGATGAACAACTTCCTTATTACGATTAGGAGCGACGTTTCGGTGTAGGTTCTAACACCATTATCAAGCTTAGTATTTCATAATAAGTTGATATCCTACAACTCGGAATGACAATCCAAATGAAGCAAACTTTTTTTCATATGAAAGCTTATGTACTTTTTCAAATTCGCAACATCTATGATAGCCTGAAACCCACATTGCTACTTGTAGGTATATTTACATGGGTATCTGTGATAATGGACATAGAACGACCTTTCGCGAACTTTGACCGACAATTAGTCGACATAAGCCATTCAGAAAGCAGCTTTCTAATGTTTCTCATTGAAGCAGAGAGTCTATATAGAGACCTCTTTGTATTGTCTCCGTGCATTGAATCATATTTTCTAGTGGATAAACTACGAAAATATATGGATGCTGCCACAAGTTATAAAGTGTGACAAAATAAATTCCAGAGCTTGGAGACGAGTTTTCGCGAAAATATATCACAAAGATCTACAAGTAGCGAACGTCGAAACTGTCGAAATGCAGAAGGATCACACAACAAGGAGGTTTAAGTTCAATAACGAGTTTATTAATTAATCACTGAACTGAAAAGTTTGTACAAAGTCTCGAGATCGCGGACACGATACTAGCTGTCAACTGTACTGGAAACATCAGTCGTTCGGCATTGTCTGTCACAACGTGGCTCTGGAATCCGGTACTTGTCCGTATCCCTCCAACAATTGATATATCTGAACTGTTAAAATAATGAAATTGTACAATAAACTTTGAAACTTGAGGACGCCACATCTCCTAGAGCTGTCGAAATGCGATCTAAGTAATTAAAGCATGGGATTAAATCATCATATGGGATCGATTCTAGAACGATCCCTGTAGACATTGGTAGGTAAAAGCCCTTGACTGTGACGTCGGAATGACCTTTGACCCCCCGGATAGAAAAATCTGTAAACTGTATTATGTTATAGGGACAATAAATCACATGCGACTTGTGATAACTGTAACTTGTATACTTGAATCATTACGATCTTGGAATATTTTGGTGAGGTAACAAAACTAAATTAATTAAGCTTTTATCCATTTTTGAACTGATGTCTTCCATCAATAATAACTGTTCAGATTCTGACAGCAAGATTTTTGTTTACCAACAGGCCTGATACGTAGGAGTTCAACGTTCACATTTCAACCTCGGGCTCTGTAAGAGATAATTGCAGCATGGGAAAGCATGAATTATAGTAATTAGGAGTACCGACAATGTAACCATCCGATCCTCATTGTAATTATCTCTTAAATAACGACTGCTTGGCCGCAGTGACTGCTGCTTCTTTGTGCGGGAGCTCGACCTTCTTCGAGGTTTTGTTTGTTTTCATTTTTCTGCACTGACATAGTGAACAAATCCTTAAAAAATCAAGCACCATTTCATCTACCTGATCCCCATTTCGATCAACTCCTAAAATAGCAATAGGTTAGTTGAAGCGACAATTTGGCATGGACCGCATGCGAAGCCATCTCTTGATTTCAGTTTTCATAACAAGGAATGCAGAAAACATGAATGTACACGACACGTTCTTCAAGCAACAGCGTTTATCACATACATTTTAAGCAGAATATTATATAAATTTTAATTCATGTATGAAACAAAATGTATGTTATCAAAAATAGTCCCAAATAGTCCAAATGGTTAGTCCAAAAGTTCCTAAAACTAGTAGTTCACACAACATTAGCACAGCAAACAACTCCAAAGTCTATCTCTCCGTGAAGAAACTCTGGAAAATGTATTTCACACAGGACACAAGGACGGCCGAGCATGACTGGGGCTGCTTGGATTCTTCACCAAGATCTATCTCCACAACTTGAGGGCGGGCTCTGAGGGCAGGGACGGGGAGGGAGGTCTGGGGTTCGGGCTGGGATGAGAGGGGGTTGACGGTGATCGTGAAGACACTGGGGCGCTTACAGAGAGGAAATAGATGTCCTTAAATCATTGAAATCAGTATCAATCCACAGTTAAGCGTGTATGAAAAAAACATGAAAAGGTCGACCATTTTGTACCTACTTTATCTGGATATTTAAACAAATAGCAAGTGAGGGTATACCGCCTACCGACTAACATAGAGAAATGCAACACAAATGTAATCACAGAAAATCTGTATTTGTACGATTCCGACAGTATCATGAGAGTCAGGGCACGATTTAGGAATTAGATATAGCTTGCACCTGGTGCAAGTTGACATCCCAACCATTTTTCACTAGACTAAACCGATTGCACTCATATTGGAAACTATTACATAATAAAGAAAATATCATCTCAAATACCAGAATGAAATCAGTGTCAT